ACCCATTGGCGATAGGTCGGTGCTAGTCATCGCTAGGTGGTGATCGGATCCTCACGTGTGCAGCTATAGTCACACAACTCGCGCATGCGTATGGATTGCGCACTGCCTTTTCGGACTTGGGAGCTTAGTCAGAGAAGGGCGTGACCCACAAAATTGAAATAAAACGAAGTTTTCGTTCGAAGATGGTTTAGGTATCATTACATACTATTTGATGAAGGAAACCGTACATCTGCAACTGAGCAATTTGGTTCGGAAAGGAAGTGAGAGGTGGTCAATCACAAGGGTATGTCGCGCCGGTGTTGGAACCAAATAATCTGGCAATCTTGATCCACGTTCGCCATAAGTTCCTGCAGAGCTCTGACTGTAATCCAGAATCGTTCAACGATTTCACAATTCCATCCTCATTTGCTCAGAACGAAGTTCTTTCATGGGTTCGGTTTGAGTGCCACCTTGTAGAGCCTAAAGAGCTGAGCATAGTGTTGCATTCGACTTGAAAAAAAAATCCCCAACTCTCGACATGTTCTGCCACAAAACGTTAAAGCACCTCAACCACCTGCTTAAAGATTCACCGGCCTAGTTTGTGACAGACAACCATAACAGCTTTTTCATGCTTCTTCGGAGTTGTTGCCTGTGTAGCGTACACTACCGGGTTCCACCCCTGTCGTGCATTTCTACACCTTGAAAAAATACAGATTCGTTCCCAAACAGTGGCCTGTTTAATATGAACAACAATGTACTCAGATGAGTTCTCCTCGATACCTATTTTACTATTTGGGGCCTGATCAGAATTATCAGTGTTTCAACAACTTTGTTTGCTCCCTGTAGGGGATAAAGTTCTTGTTGACCCTGGATTTCTTTGATTGTTCATCACTGGCTGGCTAGACTGTTATTTTCCAATAACCATGCTCCTAATAGCCTGTAAGTAATGAGCATAGCTTCTCAGCATGATCTTCCATAAAGGAATAATCTTTTTCACAAAGTTCCCACAGAGAATAAGAAATAATCTTCCCCATAAAGTCTCTCGCACCAAATCACTGCTCATCAAGTTTTTGGTCTAAAGATTTGTTTCAGACTTTTGCAGAGATATTTTTCACGCTATGATGGTTGAGGGATCCTGCAGTGTTACTTAATTTCAGCCTATTCTTTTCTTTTTCTACTTTCTGCTAATCCGATCTGAAGCAATCTTAATCCCAGTGCCCAATACTCTCAAGAGTGGAACTATGCGTGTAATGAAAAACGAATATGAAATGATGAATACCGTATGACTAAATAAATAGTTGTAAGAAAGATCATGATGTTTACATTGAAAATAACTTGACAGACGAACGAATGAACTAGTGAACCAAATTCCTTTTTCGATTCCAATTTAAAACAGAATTGTACACATACTGGCACTGAACCGTTACAGAGTTAAATTAAGACTGAATAGAGCCATGAAAAAGCAATTTGAGACTGTAGTTTTGCAAGGAGTGCGAACATGTTTTCTGTGGAATCAGAACGACAGAATAACTGGTTTTGTTGCACGGCTAAAGTGCACATACAGCCGCCTACCACAGGTTTTCGTCGATGTGTGAGCTGCCGTTTCTCTGATGGAGGTGAAAAAAGGCATTCAGCGAAGAGCACCGGTCTTGATGTGTACGCAAAGTCGGCAACGCTGAGAAGTTTTGTCAAGTAACCCGAAGGATGGTCGTGAAAGGGTACGACATCGATTCTTCCGTTCAAAACCCGCCATGCACTTACTTACATGACGGAGCGATCGGGACTGTGATGATAGCGGTCGATCGGCACATTCATCACCCAGATAAGTCTAGACACTCCAGAATAAAATCCTCATTGACGTTTCTATGGCTTTCCATAAGATAAATCTGATGGTGGGTAGTCAACAAGAAAGTCACAATCGGACGGTGTTTTATGATTACAGCAATGTGTAGATACTTAGGCTTCGTTCCCAGAGGTTTCGCATATAGGTCCTCCCTGTGAATTCAGCCAGTAACATCCGCATCTTGCTCAAAAAACAGGATGAAAAGAAATCGTATTCTCGGCACATAAAAACTGCAACTTTTCATAAAAACTTAAAGATCGAAATTACACAACTGTACGGCTGGTTCACCTTGAAGCGAAAGTGGGCATTTGTTCAACCTTGCAATGTACCGTCTTAAGGACACAGTTCATGATAATTTTGAGAAAACTTTTTTAAGTATTAGTATTAATTGGGAATAGTGCATCGGTGGTGAAGAAAACGAGAAAATCTGCCTTTTTGAGAAAATAAGGCTCCTGAAAAGTAGTAAAAACAGATGTCGGACGAGATTAACGTGGTTGAAACGAAATGGAATGGGTATTTGGACGATATTTCAGTTGTTGCAATTGCGCCGAGAGCTAGCTACATCAAGCCAAAATTGTTCAGAATNGCCGTTATAGGTCATGACAATTTGTTTGAACCCTCCACATTGGTTTCCTTGTGAACGGTGTAGCCTCTACAAAACTTGAAACTGAAACTCGTCCACTATGGGTGTGGCATTCACATGATACATTCTCTGGTCCCTTATTGTACACTACTTGGACGTTTTTTGATCAAAAACGTTAGCCCTTCAAGCTCCACCACATGGTACCAGAAGCCATGAAGAAGCATTATTTTGCAAAAGCTCGATCTTCAAGCTCCCTCAAGCTACCACGCCTGCAAAATCCGATAGGAAGTATTATTTTGTTGTGTAGCCCTGAACCTCAGCATCGCTACGCGACATACCTTTGGCCTGCACGCAAATTCGGACGAATTTGAATATCCTTACGAATCTGAATAAACCCTTAAAGATATAGTTTACGGTACTTTTAGGTACCCTTTTTAAGTCGCAAAGCGAGTGTGCTGGTTGAGGGTAGTACATCGGTGGCAAAGAGAGCGAGAAAATCCGCCGTATTCGTGAGATAGAAGGCTTCCTAACAGTAGTGAAAATAGCAGTTGTGCGAAATACCATGAAGGAAATGGCATAGAAGGGTTATTCGGACGAGATTTCAACTGTTGCAATTACGCAAAGAGCTGGTTATATAGAGCCAATATTGTTCAAATCAACTTGTTATGATCCATGGCGACAGTGAAAGACCGTTCTGTACAATATTGGCTCTACATAGCCAGCTCAAGCGTAATTGGAACAGTTGAAATCTCGTCCGTGTAATCCTTCCATGCTATTTCCTTCACGGTATTTCGTACAACTTCTGTTTTTATTACTGTTTGGACTACCTATATGGGTTCCCTTGTGATCGTTGCATCCTCTACAAATCCGTTAAAATTCGTCTGCTGTGGGTGTGGCATTCACACGATTCATTGTCTGGACTCTATCCAGGACGTTTCTCGACCTGACATCGGCACATATGGTATCAGTAGGGTCCCCGAACCCCTCCGATGAGGAAATCTCAGAAACCATTGTTATCGTGAACTAGGCCTTTAAATACTTTAGAGTGCCGAAAGAAATCGTCCTCAAGGGTCGATATTTGTTTTTGCTCAGCTCCGTTAGGATTAGAAAACTGGGTAAACGCTGATGCCCAACCTCCCTCTCTCCTCCCTGCTTATCCCCGTTCCAGCCATGTAAAAAGAACTTTTCTCGAAAGGGGTAGACCTTGATTGGAATATTTCTCGACGAGTAATAATATTTGGCATGAGTATGCTATCCTTCTCGAGATTAAAAGAGTCAGTGCACAGAGGACCCTGGTTCGTTGTAGCTTGCAATACTTCTCTCTGAATTAATCATTGACCGACTTTTCTGAAATGGAAATCTTTAGACCTAAAAGGTTAACAAGACCGTCTAGATCCCAATTACACGCACCATTTTGCAAGGGACTATTCCGTAGGTATTTTATGAGAGGGCTTCAGTCGTACTGGAGTTTGATTCATTGTAGGTTGGGTTTTCATCCGTATTTAATTTTCTTAATGCTACTCAGTGCACATATTCTTTGGAATAATAACCCTACAGCGAAGCTTTTATAGAAAAAGTGACTTTTTAATTACTTGTAGTATTTTATAAAATGTCATAGAGCATGTAGGTTACGGTGTGCTAAAGGGTGGATTTCCCATTTTTGCATGAACTGAATGATAACGCGCTCCAATGTCGAAACGCTACGCGGCCGAAAGCTAAACACCTTTTCCTTTGTTCGAGAGACACTTCGGGATGTTCTACGAAACCCCCTAAGCCATTGGGATGCTATATAGCAGCGATCCCACCTAGAACAGTTTGCTTTAGTTCCCAAGACTTCGAGCTGAGCGTTTTACTCNATTTAGCTTTTTTGCATGAACTGAAAGATAACGCGCTCCAATGTCGAAACGCTACGCGGCCGAAAGCTAAACACCTTTTCCTTTGTTCGAGAGACACTTCGGGATGTTCTACGAAACCCCCTAAGCCATTGGGATGCTATATAGCAGCGATCCCACCTAGANATTTCTTAATATTGAACTGCATTACCATTGTATGAAAGAAAAATTAGTGTGAATCGGCCGAGGTTTGAAGCAGTCAATTTCTAATCTTCTGAGGGTCGTGCTGTTGGTATTCATCACTGCCTTTCAAATTTAGCGCAAATTTCGACGTTGTTTTTAGTCATGCATCACGTGCGGGGTTTGCCGTTTGCTACGGTACGAACTGTGAATTCCTCTTTGTGTAGGCTTATTGATTTTGGAATCGATCAATATGCCTCCAATCACTTTGCATGTTTTCGGATATTGTAAACTTAGCATAGCTTTCAATCCATAAGTTCGTCGTGATTATCAAGCTTAGCATCATGTCCTGTATGAACATAAGCATTATTGGGCTCCGTTGATCGGGAGGCTATTGCTAAGGTATTGAACTTTTTCTCACCGACCAGATCCTAATAAGTTGCGATTTCTTGGATTATAGCCTAACTGATAATTCATATATTGTGTTCGAATCCCTCAATGTACTCCATAACTTGATCCCGGATGCTCCGTGTCATCTGTAAGGCTCATTTTCTCTCTATTCCTTAATTTAGGTCTCACTGAGATGGCTCGCAGCCGCAGCAGGAGCAGAGGTAAGTTTGTGCTATTACTTGTTCGGTGCACGAGCGTATTTCAATGCGATGGTTTAGTGTTCACATCTAGAGCGCCGCCGACGTTCACGTTCGGGAGACAGGAAGCCGCGTGATAGAAGTCGTGATAGGGATGACCGAAATGGAAAGCGGAGACACAGTAAGGAGCGGAGAAGCAGAAGCAGGTAATGATTTCTGGAAATGCATATATCTTGCTCTACTAATACAGTAACACTTGCAGGAGTCCATATGAGCGACGTCGTAGTCGAAGCAGAGATCGGCGAGGTCGAGATGACAGGCGTCGGCGGGATGACAGAGAAAAGCAAAAGCAAGGTTATGAAAAATTCCGTCTTTAGAAGTTTGCTCTTTTTCCTATTTCAGCTGTAATACAGTCTTGTAGTCTGGTTCTCTACCAGGCCGATATTCGCTTTATCTGCGCTGTGTAATTCTTTGTGAAACGTTTTCTAAGTACAAGTTTCGAGGTACAAAGAACATAGCTTTGCAGCTGCGAGGTTGTGAAGAGTTGAACAGACTTCTTGTTTACTTCTTTATCAGTCATACGATAGGAAAGAATTCTCCGATTTCTCGAGAAAGTATTTATCTGGTCCTTCCTATGAGCACCGACGTGAGCCTTAGAAATAAAAAAGCTCGAATTAATTGATTTTTGTATTCAGAACCGATTTCCCTTGATCAGCTAGTTAATTGCGAACAGGATATTTCTGCACTGATGGGCTTCACAGGATTCAATACTACGAAAAACAAAAAGGTTGTGATTTTTTATCAATTCAATGCTTGTGTAGTAAGCTGGTGGCAGTTACTGAGGAATAATTCTTGGAACTAGGGTTTTGAAATAAGACTTCATGAAGTCGATTGTTCCAAAAAGTTTCTTAATACTGCACTGTTTCATGTCCTTTTTATAGGTACACGTCAATTACGATGGTGCTGTCAAAATCAATAAACCTCGTCGTTACCGTCAATACATGAACAGAAAAGGTGGATTCAATCGGCCACTGGACTATATTGCGTGATCTCTCCATTTACACTTCGTCGTTATTTTTGTTTTGATTTGCAATTTACCGTATTTCACTAATAAATAGTGCAAAGCTCGAATGTTATTGCTTTTATGGTAGCATTCCAAATTCCAAATATTCCGTACTTGCAATGCCGCGTTTTTGTTTAGTGTCTATTTGGTTCGAATCTTACCATTCCCTTCTCTCGGTTTTGCTTTACTGTTGATTTAATTAGGAATCGTTTTTCTACTCATTGAAACGAAATCCTGCCAGCTATGACAAACTGTATTGGAAGTGTGATATCAGTGGATTGCGGAGAGTTCGGCTACTATCAAGGGCGACTCATATCGCTTGATGCTGATTCGAAGGATATTACTTTAGGATCTGCATTCAGGTAAGTTTACCTCTCGCGAAAAATGTCTGAACACAATTTCATTCTTCAACTTCTGAATTTTAGAGAAGGTGTTCCTCTCGGTAAGAATGTTACCCTGAATGGAGCTCAAATAGTAAGTCTCAAGGTGTTGAAAGCAGCGCAACAAGTAGAGGAGTCGCATGTGGCTTCTACTTCAAACAACAACTCAGAGAATAAGTTAGCTGTTCTGAGACCAAACGGAGCAAAGCAGAATGGATCAATTGTTCACAGAAGCAAGAGTACAATAGAGTGTACGAGTTCCTATTTTCGCTTCTTTCACTATTCTTTCACGAAACCGAGCGCATGCCAATTTTTTTAGTCGCCAGCATGGAGGGTTCACAAAATCGAAATCGGACAGGTGGTTCCCATGCACGGTGAATTGTTTTTATCGAGATTTAGCCTGCAGACTTCCCGTTGTTATGTGAAAATTCACTTGTTCAGGCCTTTGGCTACAGCGCAAAACAAATCGAGTAAAACAGCATCACAGAGAAAGCCCAGCTCTGTCAGTTCTACTAGCGAGGAGGGACAAAGGTAAGCTGTGTTGCCCCTGCTGGCTTTCTGCTTTACTACTTGCTTGCGTCTCATTATATACAACAATTCTTAGCATACACGCCGATGTTTCTTCGAAGCCTAGAACAAGAAGTCGTCGAGTTAGGAGATCTGAATCTGAACATGTTGGTTTTTTCTCATAATGCATGCAGCTTTTCTGAGTTTTAGAACATTCCGAATCAACAAACAGACTATTCCTCCTCCAGGTTAAGAAAATTTTATCATGACTTCGTAATGCTGTGGTATTCATTTATCGCTAATATCGTATTTGAGTTGATATCTCCTAATTTTAGCAAGCAGCTGTCAGCTATTGCCAGTTATTTTTAGATCCACAGTCACCCAGTTGGTGTATCTGAAACACCGCATTTCCGTAGTTTCGAACCTCAAGTGCCGCTACCTCGTGAAGTTATGGTTGCTAAAGTGAAGAATCGATGCAAAACAAAAGGTAGATAAATTGGCTGGTGCACTATACATTTTAAAAGAAGGTTATACGGAAGATACCAGCGATGTTTAGGGCCAAGTGGTAATCCGTTACTTGATTCTAAAAAGCTACATGGCCGGATAGCAAATGGAAATGATGAATTGGTCAAGCCAATAGACTTTGAGCTACTGAACACGGATTTTGATTTTGATGCAAATTTGGAGCAGTTTAAACGCGAGGTAGGGTTGTGTGATGGGTGGCAAAGCTTAAAAAGCTTAATCGACTTGCTTCTTCCGTGTTTCAGAACTTGGAAGACGATTACTACGAATCAGTGGAGAAACAAAAGATGTCGCAAAATTTTGCTCACTATGAGAACATAATCGCTGATCCTGCTAGAGTTACTTCATGGACAAATATTCTTGGCAGTAGTAACTACACTGGTAATTCTGATCAAGTGAGCATCACGAGACCAGCTGTGGAGAGGTGATTATTTATAAGCTTTCAAATCAGTTGAAGCCTCAAAACGCTCACGACCCAACTTAGGCGCTCTCCGCCAATACGATCTATTTCCTTCTGTCCGAGTGGTTACGAGACTACATACGACGGTTTTCCACTACCTGTTTTAGATGTTGCGCTCAAGAAGAAGTATTTGAGTGTGAGTCACCAATCTAACATTGTTGTACCATAGTCAAATAAAGCTATTGACTGTATTAAAATTTGGTACTTCAAATTTAGGAATGCTGCTCAGCTATGGGATCAGATGTATACCATTATTTGGTCGCAGACAGGTTGATCATGTGGCTAATAGATGTAGTAGGAAGGTGAAGAACTAGTTTTCACATTGCTTCTTTTTACAATTTTTTACTTGGGCAAGCATAATGAAAATGTTAACTGAATGGGACGGGGCGTCTTGTTCGGTTACGCTCTTCGCCTTTATATTTTGGAGTCTGCTCAGTCTTCATGTTTCGACCATGAGGCTTGAACACAAAGCCGACAAACAACAATTTTCTGCTCCACATTTTTCATTATTAGCAACTTTCTAAGTGTCACTTTGTTTTGGATGTACTGTGCCTTGATATCTTTCCAGTTTTCAGGCTTGGAATATCGCTAGATCGTGCTGTTGTTTTAGCTTCATCAACTACTCCTTTGAGAATGGTTGATCGCTTCCTGTCACATCTCGACAATAGAGGGTAGGTTCGTTTCTACTTAACATCAGAAATACCTCCATCACATGCCTCAGACCTTTTTCACTACTTCTGCAGTCTTCAGTTGTGTGCACACTTTGATCCGGAACTTGCTCTTCGCTAGTGTAAGAGCGAAAATACGCATCATGAATTTTCAGCGGCTTTGGAAGCAAAAATCACGCTTTTCCCGGAATGTGATCCCAGACTTTTTTCCACACAAGAACTGCCATAACCTCTATAGAGCAGCATCTAATAAGAGACGATATAATACACGATTTTTCAGGGTAGCGACCACTCTGTATGGAAAATTTCCGAGTTTTGATATGAGCCTAGTGTCAGTGGTCGATCGCGTTTCTCTTTTACCGGCTGCTTGTAAAGTAGGCAATTTTATACTAGTCTCCATTTTTAGTGCTGCCTTATCCATTATTATTTAGATAATTATTGTTCTTACGGACGAGTTAACTTCTGAATCGCAGACATGGCTTGGAAAACAAACAAGTTCTCATATCATTTCTCTGGAGTGTGCTCCCTCTATGTTAGATTATCATAGAGTGAGTTACAATAAGAATAATTTAACATATTTGTTTCGTATAGCTCTTAATGTGAAAAGTAGCCATCCATTTGTGGGGTTGCCTTCCAAGCTTTCACCTAACTCATTTAGCTTCATGTTTTAATGTTGGGTGTTCTTACATCGGGTATATATACTGTTAATTCTTCTGCTCAACCACAAGTGGGGAAGACGAGTTTTGCTCAGCTGTGTGCGACTATGAAAGGGAATACTTTTATCGGTGAGGTTCTATAATGTTGCTCTTTTTTACATTTATTCGTAAACGTATATTGACACCTTTGATTGACTATTTTTCAAGACTCTGCGGTTTGTGATGTGGGCGCACCATTCTCTTGGATTGCTGAGGATGGGAAAGCGAATCTCCAGCAAGCGTTCTCAACTACGTTGATGCGTCGCCTTTGTTAAAACCTCTTTAGATGTATGGTAAGGATAATAGTCTGCAATTTGGGTACGTGCCGATCTTCTAAAAATCGTGCGTCACTTTTGCGAACTTTGTCAGCAAAGATCGGTCGTGGCTGGTTAAATATAGCCTATTATACGCATGGGATTGAAGCATGGGTCTTTTCCATATCAAGTACGCCTATTCTGCATTATGATTTAGAGAAGAAGTTCATGTCATGGAAAAGTATAAGATTTTAATCCGGTTAGTCCTCCGATACATTCAGTGTTAGGACGAATTTTGTGAGGTCTTTAGAAACCATTGCCTTAATGTGGGTTTAGGTAGTTCATCTAAGCAATAGTTTAGCTTCGAATCTCGGTATGATCTCTAATGGTGTATTGTATGTTACCTGTATTAAGCTTAGCTGGACTCGGCTGTACATTATAAGCAAAATTTGATATCTGTAGAGCTCAGAAATACTACATCATATATAAAAACTCGCTGTTCACAGATTATCGCCCAATATTTGTGCTGATTGTTCCCTTAATATTCTGTGATTTTTCTCTTTCTTATTTGATTTCTCATATTTTCTGGAATGCTATCCTAGGGAATCGCTTGACATTTGATTTTGCTCCCGTTGCATTAGTACAAGGTTTCCTATTCCTTTCGTTATTCGCTTGAATTACCTTACTGAGTAGTAGTTTCCTCCATCATTTCGCTAGCGCTTGTCAAGCTAGAGCTTAGCTGTCTATTTTTCTGCGCTTTATCGTCTTAACACTTACTGTATTTCGTCTTTTTACCGGGTACCGTTTCGTAAGTGTCTGAGTGTCAGCTATGGATGTGTGCGTGAAATTTGTGCCGTTCTGTTTGTTCTAGTTCTATTTGTTTTTGTAAAAGAACATATTTTCTGCTATTTTTCATTGGTCGTGATCGTTTCTAGACTTCCTCAGTCATTGCGTCAATCGGGTGAAGCTTGTAAGTCTTTGTCTTCATACTGCTAGGGAAGGTTCAGGCCTCTAGATTCATTCCACAACATTTCTCTTCTAATTTCCTACCTAACTCTACCAGTGTTTCTTTCTGAGTTTATTGTTTCAAATATATTTTCTTATCATTGACTTGTCATTTACAGTGAGTATTCCTTGTCGTTGTATTCATCCAGTTAGTGCATTTTTATGTATTCGGTTCTATTGTTAATCCCTTGAATTCTTGAAGATCAAACTAAATAATTACTTGGGGGCGAAATATTCATGGTTTGTGAAAGAAGTGGAAATGCGGTCAAGTGATCGCTGAAAGATATGGTTTGGTTTACTTTGTTTATAATCAAACAGTTTTATCTTATGTGTTCGTATGTGTTTACACAGTTACAATGCAATCTTAATGGATCGGTTTATACGTGAAGAAAGATTTGTATTGATTTCTGTTATTTTTGAGAACATCCGTTGTATGCAGGTGTTATACCTCATTGGAGCTGAACAAAGCAGTTTTGTTATTAAATTATTAAAGGTAGTCGTTCGTCGCTTCAATTAATATTCGTACATCAATGCACGTGCAGTGATGGAATCATCTACTCCTTCACCGTCTCAGGTTATATCATTGTTCGGAGATGAGAATCAAAATGATCCGGGTAGATCCGATCGGTCAGTTGGCCAAAATTGTTTCTACGCCCCTAATGAAACATGAAACATTAGTTATTCGGCCACTAATTTACCTGCTTGTTAAATGCCGTCTTGTGCAACGAAACCTCAAATCACAATTCACCAAAAGCGATGGTTTTAACTGGATCGCAAGTGTACATTATGAAAGCCGCGAACCCCCGGATAAATTCTTTGGGTATAACACGAATGGGTTCGGTCATTTCCGCTGAAAATCCAAAGGGTTAAGCATAGACGGGATTGTGGCTAGGTAGACTCTTAGGTTCGTACTTCTGGAATCAAGTAATATCAATTCGAATTGTTCCCACCTGTGAGCAACAAGGAGTGAACCTTACACACGAGGACAAATCTATCTGATCATTTGAGCGGCAAGAGCAAATCCTCGATATGTTCTTTGAGACTATGTGGACGAGAGTTAACTTCGCGAGGGCTCAGCTTCAAAGATGCTGAAAGGAAGACTAACTCTTAGGGGGGATTTCAGTTTGTTGAGCCAGATGGTATTGGTGTTAACAGAGTATTTGCAGTGATATGAGGCTTCTTGGGTACTGTATGTTTTGGGGTAGTATTGACTCAAATTTGCTGTCGCAGTATTAAAACTTTATTTAAGGAGTAACATTGTGACTTTCCTGACGAGCTCTCTGTGATGCGCTACTCCTTCGCCTTAATCTGATTATTGCCATAGGTGTCGATTCAGGTACAAATTCAGATACAGGTACAAAGCGATATGTACCGACGTAAAATTGGCCCAACCCAAAGAAACAAGAAATCGACCATTCAGACCTGGTATAAGTAGTAGATGGAAGGGTTGAATCATGGTTCGTTCGATTTGGTGAATAAGACCAACCGTGAAGGACTGGATGACTGGCAGACTTTACCTAACAAGATGTCTAAACGGACCACTGGGTTGTCTGTAGCTGGTCATCACAAATTTTAAAGACGATCTATTATTGTAAGGTTGTTCAAATTAACAGACGAAAAATGTTCGGGTTGAAGAGATTCAGATGCGGAGTAAAAGACAGAGTAATTTACTGATTTGAGAGTAATATGAAGTGGAAGGGCCGTCTCTTGTCTGTATGGCTCGATTGGCAACTTCAACCTCATTTATATAGACAAATTATAAAAACTTCCAACTTTTAATTTTTCCTTATTCTTCCTGACTTTCTATCTTTCTGCGAATACAGATCGCAAGCTACACGGTAGTAATGTTAAGGAATTATCCAACTATCCTAGCAGCAAAGCAAAATCTCATTATTAAGCAGCATTAGTAAACATTAGAGTCAAAATACATAGCGGAAGAAAAGACACTGTGTACTAATGTAAATGCATGTATGACGGCAGCTTTTGAAATGAAAAAATGCGGTTGTACCGACTGCCATATCGGTAATTATGAAGGGTTGTTTCGGGCTTTTTCTGAAATATTTCTGTTTTACCGGTAGTTCCCATTTGTGGTTGTTGTTCAATTAACCTCTGTTGCAGGTCATACACACTCCTAGGTGCTTTGACACTGAATGGAGCCTACATGATAGATTGGTTGGAAATTGCCACCAGCATCTTTGTGTGGATGGCTATTTCATATACTGTACTCTATCTCAGTGCCTCGTTCGTTGCTTTAATGATGATGCGAAGACACCCGTACGTGGTGCTCTTCGTAATACCTCTTCTTGGTACGCTATTACCTTTACATTTACTTTGTTGATGCCTTACATTGGGAACCCATTTTTTTCTAGATTTGATTCGTGTCTCATTTAGTCAAAACAAATTGTAGGTGACATTTTGATTCTGGGAACCTTTTTTCTCAGCCTTTCGGATAAACTTTCGAAAATCTTCAAAATAGAGTGTTACATAGTGTTTTCAGCTTATTCCCACTTCATTTTTCGGAATGTGCCACAAAAGCTACTTATTCATCGTTTTTAATTTATAATTAACTTTTCAGCTATGTGTGTGATTGGACCAGTCACTGTCGGTGTGGCGACGTCTCTGGTGTTAGCGTACACACTATCTGCCTCTGATAAAGAAATTAGCCCTTGGCATTGCATGGTTCTAGGAGTGTTTCAAAGTATTATGTTAGTCATTGTTTCCTTTAGTCGTTTGTTAGGGACGTTATAGCCTGAAATCTTTCTAATTTTATTTTTTTGCGATCATTATTTAGTATGTACATCTAGCCGTTGTTTTTTGCAAGTTTCTAGCAAATGTTCATGAGCATAATACTATGAATCAATCATCGCAGAATCCAATAATCTTTGATTGGAGCCTAGGTAGGTTTATATGGGCAGATCACTAAGCATTCATCATGTATGAATTATTTTCTACAGCTCACCAAATATTTAGACAGAAAAGCAGTTACAGTTCTTATGTCTATAACTGCTCTACAAAATAATTTGAATTATAGAATGTGTTAGTATTTTGTACTTATATTGCTGGAAATAATGTATTGAGCCTCGCTGAAACAACACGCCATTGTTTGCCGAAGTCATATATTTCAAAGATGTAGTAATTATTGCAGTTTGTATACAAATTCTACGGGTATTTAACGCCTAGACACGGTAGACACGACACTTATGTTTGCTGTTCACTTTGAAGTAAACTATTACGAATAGCAGCTGATGTTTTTCTGCTCGGATTCGTGTAAAAGAATCTATAGTGTGTCACTTGTCTGGGAAGGTCCGTGTCAGTTATGCCGTTGGCTTACCATAGGCTGAAACGGTGTCGTTTGCCAAGTCAAGAATCATGGTGAGACCAGTACGTTGTTTCACTATGTCGTGAAGTGCCTAAGAAACAGCCTCAGTGTACATGATAATAATTTATAATAGGAAATAAACGGGAAGGGAAAAAAGTATGTTGGACGATTATGCGGTATCTGCAGTAGAGCTAAAGTATCCATGGCAGTATCGCTTAATTCTGCGCTCTAGTTTGGACGTGCGCGGCGTGAACGCCCGCATACGGCGCACGAACGGTTTCGTCAGGCTGGCTCCAGCATTTTACTAGTAATCTGTAGGCTTTGTCTCCTCAGTAGCACCAGTATTGTAATATCAGAGGATTTGTCATCAACCGTTCAGTCATAGAAGGTTATGTCTGAAGGAGACAGATTGGCGGCTCCAGGAACGAGGTCTCGTGGACCACCAACCGTAACCGGTCTTTCTCCTACTGAAGGTAGTCATTAAAAATGTCATCAAAAGTTTTCAAGATCCTTATACTCTCTAAGAATGATATGAGTATAATTTTGGTCAATAATGGGTGCGAGCGGTGCTAGCAACTAGCAAGTACTTGGGCTGGGGTTACTGTAGGAATCGGGTGCTCGTGTTGAGTTTTCTGTTCTATGCGTGTATTAGGCGTTTTTCTTTCAATCGTTGAGTGTTCAAGCTACACAATTTCTCAGAATATTAGAATTTTTTGGAATGTAATATCATTTTTCGAGCCTATTCTGATAAAGTGGTTTAGGAACTCCTGGAACTCAGATCACAATACGAGGTGAGAATCTAGGAACGGATCAAAATGACTTGCTCATGCTTTTCATCTGCGGGACCGACTGCTTGCACACAGCGAAGTCCGTCTTTTACTGGTTTTTCGGATTGGAAACCTTCGCCTAGTGATTATATGCTTGTTGCAGGTGGAAGACTGACAAGAAAATTATTGCTCGTCTTGGGCAGGCGAATCGCGGGCTAGGAGAAGTCAAAATAGCCACCAAATCTGGTGGGCGAGGGGTTTGCAACGTAAAATTCAGGTATACGATGGTGTGCTGATGACGTCCTGCCATAATGATGATTTGCTTATAGGGTGTTCATTGCTCAAATTGGACCTTTGGAGGAATCAGCTGTTTGGGTAGACGAAACACAGACCGTCCCAGGGCGAGAGGTAAACATTTCATCTATCTATCACTACTAGTATTATCATCTTTTCTAATTTGGAACTTCCTTCAGTAGTAAACCAAGAAGCTCTAAATCTTGTCTTTACCTGTTTCTTTCTGCACTGCAAGAGCGATCATATCATTAGTGAATGTTTTGCCTAGTAAAACAAGCTCTTTCATTATTTGAACTATTGCAGAGATTTCTCTCTTACGCCCGCCATGTTTGGTTTTATTACAGGCGGTACGAACCGTGGCTCAAACATCAGAAGAAAAGGATGCTCTAGGACTAAGGCCGACCACGAAAAAGATGGATCCAGCTCTTTTGGCCAAATTGTTTCCTGATAGTTCTGGAAATATTCGAATGGAAAGTTTCAACCCTCAGTGGTACCTACTGGAGCACCATTCGGAGACACCGTAGGCATCTCTTCACCGATTAAATACTATCATTTGTCGGTGAAAGCCAAGTTAACTTCCATTACAGGATAGAAGAGCTGCGAGAGGCCTTGAAAATCATGCAGCTAGCCAAAGCCGACGAAGCAAAAAAGAGCGAACAAATGCACAAGGTAATTTGTTATTTTCTCTTTTCACTTTGACGTGATGATATCGCTATTCTTCAAGTGCGTTTTCCATCACATGTCGGAGAATATCTTCGAAGTCTCACGCACGTTTTCATTCAATTTCTGCTTGACACCTAATAAGTTACTTCGTCTTAACTTAGCTTCTGCTTGTGATCCATTCATCATGGAGAGTTGAATACAACACGTAGGTAAATAGATTCTAGGTCGAAACAAGTCCTACAATTAGTAAGTTGAGATGATAAAGCGATCATTCAAGCAAGAAAGTCGCTAGTTCTATGACTGTTAGTTGGGTATCTTTATGGTTGGCATTGGCTAACATCGTCCCACGGGGTAGTTCGGCAACTACTTAACATAGACCGAGATCATGGTAAACTGTAAGGGCCAATACTTTCAGGCCAATCTTTACTCTTTGATCAATTGTGTAGATTCGCTTGCTGCTCTGCATGGGGAGCTCGAGCGAAGTAATAAAGCAGGGGAGTTTGCTGTGATCAAACAAATCGGAAATCAAGTAAGTTTGTTGTATATCAGTTACAGTTTTGACTTGAGCAAATAGCTCTTCGAAATCCAGGTGATGATTTAGATTTCTGAAGCTCGATTGAAAGCAGAAAGCGTGTTCAAGGATGTTTTATCTCGTAAAGATCGTGCCGATGCCACGAGAAATGCTCTATCTGTACTTACAAGATTCAAATTTATATTCTTCCTCAGTAAAACAATAGACGACAATATGAAAAAGGTATGGCTGTTCCAGCCATTGTTATTTCCAGAGTGTTGCTTATGTTTCTCCTCCTACAAGTTCTAGGGTGAATACTTGACCATCCTGAATGACTATATGCGGGCAAAATCACTATACAAAGATACAGAGGTTGCTTTGTTCAAAGAAGGTAAGTTCCAACTAGTTTCCTTTTTATTTGGAGAAAATAAAAATTGAAATTTGTGTTCACTTATGAAGTTAACCCCATTCAGTTATGATTCATCTTGATGCGAAGATGGAGAAGTTCAAAGAAGAGATGAAGCTGAAGCTAATCGATACCTCAGCTTCGTTTGAAGAGCAAAGCAAACTCATCAAGTATCTTAAGGTTAGCTTACCTTTGAATAAGTTTTCCGAATATGACTTTTTTTTTGAAACTCGTACCAGTAGTAGGGTTTGAGACTTTCTTAGGATGCTCTAATTGTGCACCACTTGCAGAGCACTCTGCAGGAGCATATATTATAGGTATCGTATATGTGCATATTTTAGTACGTCTCAGTTTTAGTTTAATGCTTCTCAGATTTAGTATTTTAGTATTCTGGCAAGGAAGTGCTCAACCGTAGTGCGCTGTTACCTTCTTCGCCTCAAGATTTCCAGCCTCTTTTTCCTTCCCGTGTCCTCTGTCTACAATTTATGAAAACGAGATTTTCTTTTTGAGATACTTGAACCTGACTCGGATCCTACGTGGGAATGTATTACTGCATACCACTGTTGGCTTGAAGACATTCTATGGAAGCTGCAGGAAACTCATTACAAAAAAGGTAGTGTGTTGTTACAAAGCAAACGTATTCCTCCTTCCTTGTAAATGGATTCTTGTAGTTTTCAGCTATCGAAGCAGAAGAAAGTTTTCAAGATAATCGGTTTGCAAGTGCGTTGCTTTTTTCTTCTTAAGCCTGTTCGTTCCCTTGAATAGGTTGGCGAATTTTCAGTATTGGAAACAAACGAGCGCCAAGTTTTTGTCTCTTCATTAGTTTCCGTGTTGATGCATAAATTGCAATCATTCTGGAAACTTTCCAATACCTACACGACCAATGAAGAGCGATGGACCCAGCGTCAAGACGACATCAACGTTAGTTAAAGAATTCTTGTGAAGTTCCGACCGACCTTTGTAGCTTAAAGTTCACCACGAGGGGGACTTTTTTCTTTTACAGCAGTTCGGTACAATTTGACAATTTGTCACTCATGGCACTGTACCAGACCATTATTGCAAAGTTCTCTTCCGCTTCGAAGGTTTTCTTTCAGCAAATGCTTGTGAACACCATAAATGTTTCGTCATGGTTGATACTAAACGCTTTAGTGCCAAAAGCTCTGCCGGATGACGTCATCAAAAGGTAGGATCTATCACTCAGGCATGTTATCGTTATGATCTTTCTGAAATTATTTTACGAATTACTCCTGGCTGTATGGATTAGGGCTTATGTGAGCTTCCTGACACGATCGTGTTCTTATCGCATATCTTGATAACCTGTTCATGACGAATGTTTAATCCCTTCAAGCATGACAATGTTTTAAAAATCGTCATCTATCTACTCTTCGATATACCTCGAATTGGAGCATCCTTGGACTAGGGAAATTGAGAATCGAGAGCTGCGCTCGTGTTAGAAGAGACTCACACTCAGCAATGACNTGCAACCAAAATAACTTCAATTCAAACTCATCACCATCATCTTTCTGCAGCATATGAATCAGTGATGCTTGAGGTTAAACGATGCATATTTTTATCTTCTGTAGTATTGTATTTGGTAAACTGGTTTTATTATGGCTGTCTTCCCATTTTGTGGCCATATCTTTGCATGCAATTTGGTGCAGGACTGTATCGCATATTCGTGCGCCGAATTTGTGTTCTTGGATTTACGTAGCCCTCTTCTAGGTATGAAGCACAATTTGTCCGATGGCCCGAAATATCCGCCCAAACAACGAAAACAGTTCTGACCCATAGTCTCAAAACCTTAAGGTTTGTGAAAGATATTTCTTATGCATTTACCTCATCGTTATGTATTGTGATGTATTCCTTCAGCATAATACTCTTTATTGATTATTCCAGATCATTTATATCATCTCTGTTGGATGCACAATTTACTTCAACACATGTGCAGCCATTAGTCGAACTTTGCATGACAGTGAGGCTGAAGTTCATATCGGACGTTATCGACAGTGGTGTGGAAAGTAGGTTTTTCCAAGTCCTTCCTACATTTTGCCTCTGCTATTTTTCGTGCGCCGGTTCTCATGAGTAGTCCATGCTGAGACAGAGGACTTCTAGGGCACCTCAAATATGTGTTGGTTGTGTAGATACACAAAGCAAAACATTCGGAGAAAAGCGCAGCATCCTTTGTTTGTAAAACACCCGAAGGCTAAAAGCTTGAAAAAAAAGCTTCCTGTAACTAAAAGAGTAGTTACCAACATCAACTACTTTAGAATTTCTAAACTATCTCAATCTGCATCATTTACTGAGTTGGAGAAGCTCCCTATAGGACTTAGGAATACTAGGAATTCTTCTCGTGCACTAGATCTTTGAGACCTATTGCCCATTTTCAATACCCACTGCCAAGAAAGTCGGATTTGCAGGCATTTGTGCTCTCGGTGCCAAGGAAAACTGGAAACAAGATTTCAGTTCCAGCGTTGCGGCAAAGACGACTCTGCCAGACTTCTACGAGAATGAGGTACTCTCTACACGTACCACAAGTGCTTAGTTAATAGCAATATCTTAGCAAAATCGCTGAGTTCTTTTTGTCTATTGCTCTTGGACAACAGGTAGTTGAAAATTAAATTTTCATGCGTATTTTTCATTCGCAGTTATTTTATGTATAAGAAGCATAAACCACGAGCAATTAATTTATTCTCTACGATCAAGGTGTTTGATTGTCTGTCTGCTGTGAGGGATGCGCTTTCAACCTCCGGATATCCAAACGAGGCATGCCTTTTCTCTCGCGAACGTTTCCGAAGTACGTTAATTGACATCTTCGTCCATTTGATTACAGCGATCAGGCACTGTTTTGACCGGTGAGTTCCTTGTTTTGAAATTATCTCAAACACTATTTAGAAATCATTTAAACTTTTAATTATCTTTAGTAGATTTGATTCTAAAACACACCTGCCCATTCATTAAGATTGCTAAATCTGCGAGCAGACCTGAAGAAACCTCAAGATCTCGACCTCAGTAGGAAGGACGAAGAAAAAAGTCACGTAGGTAGTTTTGCACTCTGTCTGAGAGTTAAAATGTCTGAGAATAATAGATACGTGGTTAACGGTAGCGTTTAGCTCACAACAAAGAAGTTACTCATCAGCATCTGCAATTTGGAGTTTATATTGGAAACTGCGTTGAAGAACATCAGTCGTCGCTTGCTTGAATGTGGTGTGAAGTATGCAGATGATGTATATGAAGTGAGTTTTTTTTTCCGATCGGCTGTTCAATGTACGCTTCATTTCGTTTTTCTGCATAGAATTATCAAATGACCTCAATTGCAGTAATTGGGTATTTTCGTGATTCTTATATCTTTGCGAGCTATATTAAATTCGGCTCGAAGATCTAGCATTACTGGCTTTTATTTTAAATGAACATCCCCTCCATAAGGCCATACATTGTCTGATGCATTCAATGCTTCCTCTTCTCCCTTCGCTTTCATTGAATATTTGAAGGATGAACCTTAGCCTGTTCTACGAAGAACAGTTGAAGCTCTCTCATCATTTAATGAGTCGGACCAGTTGGGTAATACGTTCATATGAGGATTCATTCCTAAATTTCAGAAATCGAAAGCAAAATTACTAGTGTACAGGAAGACCCTTGTTCGATGCTACATTATGATAAAGAGCAGCGCCTTCACTTCACTAATAGACTCTGCAAACTACGAGTTTATACCCGATGATGGTGAGTAAAAATACTTCGATATGCTTTTTCCCTCGGTCAGTAGACACACATATTGGTAAATGTATGTACATATGTATGTAACATCCAAAAGGAAAATGTTATCTCAGTGTAATGCTTTACGTTCACACAGATGTGTCGGATTATGCGAAAGAGATGATGATGTGTTGTGTGCTACAACAAGCTGAACTAGAACTGTGCGCTCCTCAACTAACTTCACAGTGTCTCCAGGTTGGGATAGTTTTAAGGTTCGAACAAGGCAGCGTTAGCTGTTAGATCCACATCAGCTCATAGGCAATACTTTTAGGCCACCGTGCAAGCAGCCTTTGACAGTCTATTAGATCATTTGGAAGCGCGTGAACCTGCTTCTCAACGAGAAGCTACTCAGAGAGTTATCGACATATGTGCTCTTGAGCAGGCACTGGGAGGGTTCACTAACTTGGAAACAAGGTAGGCTACAATGATGGTTGTGTTCATAACTCTTCTTCCTCCACATTCTAGTTCGGAGTTTTCGTTTGTAACAGTCAAATAGGTCCCTGACGCATTATTGTAAACCATGTCGCAATTTTCGCGAGATCAGCTGCGAGAAATCGTCACCTACAAACGGCACCACGTCTCCTGTGCTCGCTGCTGCCCCCCGCATTAGCACTACATTCGTAGCGGATCTTGTCAGCCACACAAGCATTGTTCATCCATTCGCTTGCTCTTAGTCTGGAGATACGCGGCGCGAGGTGACCTGCATCAGGTGCAACCTACAAAAATTCGCGCACCCCAAAAACTATGTGCTTCAATTCATTGACTCGCAGTCCTTCTCTTTTCGGGAGAAGGAACTGGCTTCTCATCGATGAATGTCATAAGTGATGATGGTTATTGTATTGAAACTGAGAGTTTCAATAAGATTGAGAAGGAATCAAAAACATGCACCCAGAATGTCTCATAGCTATTGCATTGCCTTGATAGCTTCGGACGGTTTCACTCTTGCTCGAATTTCCGCGCACATTGCATAAGGTTCCTTTTGAGTATGGAAGTTTTATAAGTTTTTTAAGGACTCATGTCAATGCGTATCGTGCTGGATTGGTTGGGCAACTGGATCAAAGGTGATTTATCTTGATGTTTTATCTCAATTGTAAACGCAGCGGTTAATTTCATAAGCCTAATAACTAATATTTTCGTAATATTCCCATTGTATTTCGTAAATCTCGTGGTCAGCTTCGTTATTCTGAACCTCATTTCGTTAGCCTTGCAATACTGTGTAAACTGCGTGGTCAGTTTTCAAAAGCTCAAGGAGAAGTTTGGCTACTTACGGCGTCGCTCATTCTGAGTTTAACTTAATAGGGCGCCGATGGCATTTTCCTAGTGCCTTCACATTGAATGTACGCGAAACAGATGTGAGCCTATCGAGATGATGTAATGGGTACGCTCACTCATTCATGTAACTCTTTGCTATACCTGTTGAAATACAGGTTTCAACGTTGAATAAGCTAGATTCAATATTGCCATGGGAAGAGGCCGGGCGCCACGGATGGCCGACCAGCCATACAATCGGGGCTCTGGACGAGGAGCACTTCCATCAGCTGTACCAAGAGCACTCAGCGAGCCATTCATTACTTCTCTACCAAGCCGCTTATCACGAAGTTTACGTAGTTGATTGCAACATTGATGAAATGGGGTTCATAAATATGAAGCTGAATGCAAGATTTACGAAACAAAATGGGAAAACTACAAAATCGGTCGGAAGGTCTACGAAATAGACTGCATCGTTTGCGGGTGGTGTGGAAAATTTTTATTTTCTCTTGACATCCTCTAGCATACTCTTTAACTTATCGCTCATGCTCATGCAAGAAATCAATCAATCAGACGTTCTCGAAATATCTCTTGCCACTTTCTTTTCTTCCAGAAAACTTCAGCTGTGCCTTAACAACATGCGGACGTCGATGCGTATGGCTATTGAAAGCTTAGAAGGAGGGGCGGAAGATGATCTTAACACATCTAATATATAGAATGTTTCAATTTTCGTGGCTCACGTAAAAGGGTACCTAGATTTATCTCATACAGTTCACCGCTACGTCTTCGAGTGAAATGTTATTCGATCCTTTGAATCTTTTTCGTTCCAAAGCTTATTTCGTGTCGTTCTATTTATTATTATCAAGATTCTGTTTACTTTGTTATAGATTTATATATTTGCCATTGCTTTCCGAAGCAGTAACTGTGATCAATGTGTGCCCATGTTTCTGAATTCCCTTTGTGATGTGCAAGCTTTAAATAAACTTCATTACTATTCTTTCTTAGATTGATCAATCCGCCTTATCGGATGAATTTTTCTTGACCTGTTCTTTAGAAACTTGGTATCGTTGTGTATAAATCATGAGAACTAAATCTCCGAGAACAATCTGTAGCGCCGCTCGGAACGGGTTTCGCAGAGTTACTCGTGCCGACAGCCATGTCTATATCGCTTCTACTTTAGCCCAGGTTCGTGTTTAGCTCTCCGGCTCGCATTGAGTCCCCTTTTACAACTGCTCTATAATCAGACGGCTTCTGTAACTGGTGATTTTCTGTCTCATTCCAGACTCTTCAAGATGTTGTCGGTGAGAGAGGCTCTTTCCTCAACAAAGTGTTGCGTTATTTTATTAGCTGTCATTGGATTTATTGTAACTCCTCGTCTTAGTGGCAGCTGGGTGAGTAAGTTATAATAATTCTATAATTCTTATAGTTATAGCAACATTGAAAAAATGTTCAACTCACTGATGAGGCGTTCGTGAGGTTCACTTATTTTTACTGTTTCTTCCACCCGGTATGGGGCCTGATCTCCCTATCTCCCCATTCCTTCTTTTAATTGTTGTTAGGTATGGTTGGGCAATTTCCCTGAAGCTGTTCACTATCGATGTGCACACCCCTAAGAGCTCTCATGGATGGCAAAAACATGGCAGAGCAAACTCAACAGCTCTCACTTTATGATTTCTTCAGAGGATCGATCTTTGAATTTTTCCCGTGTTAAGGTCAGCGGTGGTGACGGTCATGAGATTGGCAATAGAAGGCGGTTTGCTGCTGTCGTGGAGATGGAAATATTTCTATTGTTGTGCAATTTCTTTATATATAGCCAATTGATGCTTTACTTCGATGCAGATGACCGTGACAAATACGACAAAAGATTCGCTGCAGTAAGTTAATATTCCTCGGTGACTATACATCTTGTGATGTATCTGATGTTATGTATTTTCAAAATACTGAAAGAAAGGTGTAAGTGGGATTTAAATGCTAGGACTGACAACGGGGTCGCAACCCTTTTATATGCATACTTGAAAACCTTCAACGATGGAATTCCTTTTCTTGTCTACCGAAGGGCAAACTCATTTATTTTGGATCAACATTCAATTGGACTGAATAGGGAATGTCTGTTTTTGCGATCAAAGAAGCACTAGAAGTGTCGAACATTGCGTTCGTTGAGTTCAATACCAGAACAACCAACAAATCTCTGTAGTCGACTACAGACTTCCATTAATCAGATGTTGGTAATGTGAGCATTGCAGATGGGTGTTTGCAGTGAACAGTGTCCGGTAGGAAAGCGTTCGCTTTTGCTAAATGGTCATTAGAGGGGATTTTTTTCATTAACAAATCTTTTCCTAAAGTTTCAGTTGTCTGTCTTCATGTGAATTACCTACTTGTTCCAGAAAAATCGCAAACGTGCATCTATTGTTTTAATTGTCTTCATGATCGCTGCACAGATGGTTTATTTTCTTTATTTTGCGCCTAGTTTGTTCCAAGTGAGTTTCTATGGTTCTAGTGTATTCACCTCCTCTGGTTTGCGTACCTTTGCTCACCCCTTTTTATTTTTTTTTGATTTTTACATTCGACAATGTATTGCACTTGCCTAAGTCTACATTACTTTTAGAATAGGTTCTTCTGATTTCATCATACACTAGAGAAGATGAAGTTTTTTAATTACAATTTTCTTTTCCTGATTCTCCTTTTTCCAGGGTATTCTCTTTGACATATGCGCATTTCTTTCGGGTGTGTGGACTAATTTGCTGGGTATTGTAGCTGGCTTTTTTATTGTGAACACTGTCGTTTACGTATTATATGTGGGTAGATTTTTTAAAAGTTACTCTGCAAGTAGTACTTCTTTCTTGAGGATGCTACTTCTAGACGATCCCTAGAACAAGAGTAGCAGTTTCTAAAATAGAAAACGCCGCATATATTGGCTCAATGGTTTTCGATCGGAGATATCAGATCAAGTCAGTGCCTCGGTCTAGCTTTTGTTTCGATACTGCACTATAAGTGTAATTGCGTGGTAACCTTGACATATATTAGAATTATCCTCATGATCACTTCGATAATGTCGCTTCTTATGTGGCTTGGTAGTGACAAAATCGTTGTTAAGCACGTCACCATTCCCATCAAGGTGTGTTTTTTTCTCGAATATAGCTTCTTTTCCTTTTTATTACCAAAAAAATTACGCTTCAGTCGGTCCATAGAAAGAATTTCTTTAAAAAATTTTTGTAGAACTTCACTGGATCGAATCGATCGTTCAAAATAGCTTTGGTGTCCGATATCCATGCTGGCGCGAGTGTCTATAGAGAACAGGTAAGGTATCGCTTACGTTTCAGTCGCTATTGCTTTTCCCTGCTTTTCAAATTGCTATTTATATTCGTTCAGACATATTTTGTGTTCGCTTTCAGGTTTCTAAGGTAGCTGATAAACTTCTTGATCTACACGTTGATGCAGTTGCACTAGTAGGAGATATGGTTGATGGCCCATTAATGAACATAGAAGACCGTTTAATGCCATTATGGTGAGTTCCATTCGGCTGACATTGCTCTGAGTGGCAAGAAAGAGAACTTCACTCATCTATAAATTTCGTTCGAGAAATCGAAAATCTACTCGAAAAAGTGGAGCCTCGCACTCCTTGGTTGAATTCTTTTCCCTTTTTCCATCACTTTTGTGCTGACCATTTCAGGATACTTCCCTACAGATACAGGACCTATTTTGTCTCAGGGAATCATGAATATTACTACGGAAATGCCATGGAGTGGTTCCATGAATATGATCGTCGTAGAGTTCGTGTGCTTGATAACAAGTAAGAATTTCGAAGATGTTGTTGACACCCATACTAGACTATTTTTTTTGTTTGTTGTTTGTTTCACCATGAGTATATGGTTCACGTCCCTTTCTCACTGCTGAATTTTTTTTTCAAATTACTGTGTGCTTACAGGGTTTCACGTAGTTAGATAAATTGCTCTGTAGTATGCCCATCTCCGAGCTCAGGTTGATAAAATGAAGAGACCTAGTTTACCTTGAATCCTTTTAATCTTCTCCTTTATGTTCTCTAGAGCATATCATCAATCTTGTCATTTTTCAGGTGCGATATGTTTCATGGCATTTGCTTTGTGGGTGTTAACGATTTTTCAAGTGGAAATTCAGGGTGTGTTTTGTATTTTTTCTTTCTCTAGGCTGTTTTGTTTTCTGTTTTTCCGTTTTGAGGGTAATTTTCTCAGCGAAATTCAATCTGCGCTGCTAATCGGACACAGAAACTTCACCTTCTCCATACAGGAAATAAAAATGGTAGATTAGCAGGAAAATCGTCATTTTAATACTCACATTTAAGCACAAGGGACACACGAACATTGAATGACATTGGATCTTCCTGGTGCAATTGGTCGTTCTTCCCTTACGCACATAGAAGATCTAATAGTTCTTTGATATCTCGTTGAATCAGGCCATATTTCATAAGCAGTTCGGGCGCAACTGCTACATAGCCATCTCCGAATATGGAACTTGCATACCACACTTGCTAATACGTGGCCATTTAGGGTGCGATAGATCTTTGATCTGCTGGCACGCAGCTAAGGGACATGAACGAGATTTCCTAGGTATCAATATACATTCCTTAGTGGCCCGAAAGTAAGATGAATACCGGGAATAGAAATTTGTTGAGTGTCAAAGCTCGACCCTCCCTTGAACTCTCATGATGGACGAATTCGTACGACATGGAAGTTCTTCTAAAGGCCATAATGTGCGCATATGGTAGTGTAATAGGCAGAAACTGTAAACTCAAGAAGGGCTCCAGAATAGTAAGAAAACACGAGTTTCAAAGGTTGACTTACTTAGTTCGACTTTTTGTAGGAGGGTTTTTATTACAGAATGTGGGCCTTTATAGAGTTATTATAAAGTTGAAGTGCTTTCGAAAAAAAGATTCTATTCCGACCTCCTGGTTCCGTATCCTATACAAATGCCCAGTGGTTCAGTGATTCTCATTAGTTAGCTTCTATTGAAAAGCCTCTGCCATTGTTTTTCCGTTGAGCTACGTCATTCAATAAAATAGTTATGACTACTACATTAGATACATGAAAATGAGAAAACTGTTTGTCTCATATGCCCAGATTGACCATTGCAGAATACGTGGTCATAGCATGAACCTTACTGAAGCTATGCAAAACTGTAGCGAGGGCTCGTCACGGATTGTACTGTCTCACAATCCAGCAAGTGTGAAAAGCTTTTCTGCCGAAGACTTGGAGAAAGTCGATGTGGTTTTGTCAGGTCGGTAAGGATAGTCGAATAGTCGATACATTTTTGGTCGCAACATTATTCCGTAGAGGTTAAACTGAATATCTTTACTCTATTTTATCAGCATAACTAACTTCTCCTGGATGAAATATAACTTAAAGGAGTATTATTTAGTTTTTTTTTTGAAGACAGTAGTTGTGGTATTTGAAAAAGTTGGGTTCTTCTCCTTGGTTGGTTGCGCTGAAAATCTTTGGCTAGCGGATGTTGTTTTTTAGGTCATACCCATGCTGGTCAATACTATGTTCTCGTGCCGATAGTGTCATGGTTACTGCCCTATTTTCACGGTCTTTACGACATTGGACACGGAAAACTTTTTGTTTCCGCCGGCACTCTCTACCAGGTAGGCTTTTTGTCGTACAGAAATCTGCTGAACCACCAGCCTTGTATTTCAGGGAGCACCCATGAAAATGTTATGGATGTCAGAGATATGGGTAGTTCACTTAGTGAAGGACAAAAGTTAAACTGGTTCAGTTTTGGTGTATCTCTCCCTATGCAGTGCCTGACCTTCTTTCGTGTTTGATTCTACTTACCCTCATACAGTATGTGATGGTCTTTCATAACCAAACAATGTTTGCGCAAAATTGTCTTCTTTTCCGATTGGTTATTATACGATTGTCGATCTAACAGCTGTGATGTCAATGATGAGTGCAAGAAGTTGTCTTTAAGCTTTAAGCTATTTTACAGAATTTTATTTTATTGCATCAATAAATGTTCTTCATGAATTGAGCGTCAACTGTTCGTTCGCGGTGAACTATCCGAACCCTCTTTAATCGTTTTCTATTCACTGCAGTTGTAAGGCGACAGTGGTGCTCTGGTTTTCAGGAAAAATCATGACCTGGTTACAGAGTTTTAAATAAATGATATCTAGCAGCTATAGAATATTATCCGTGAGGAATTCGATCATCTTCGTAGCTATTCTCGGTTTTCTTTCAATACGGAAGTTGGGTGCCGGTTGGGTGAGTCGCAATCGTTGCAAATGTACCGCCGTTTTTATAGAACTCTTTAAAGGGATGAAGAAGGATATTGATGTTGACGTTAGAGCTGCTGAATGCTATAATAGAAAATACGTAAACAGTTGGTGAAATGAAATTCTAATAATTCTTATAAAGCAGATTCGATAGGGCCTCTATTAGTGCGGATGGGAGCGACACAAACATTGGCTTCAATAAAGAGTATGGCGAAAGTTCCACTATTTCGGAAACAGGATATTTGGCCTCTCGCTCTTGTCATTTGGAGCTTTTTTCTTAATCCTCCGGGACTTATTCGAATGATATTCACTTTTTTAAGGTAAGTAATGGGAAAGGCTACGAAGTCGGTAATAGGCGACGTTTTGTTTCGGCTCTTAGGATGGAATGCTTAATGTTTGTGTGCAATTTCTTTATTTATGGTCAGCTGATGGTTTATTATGAAAAGAGAGATTACGACAAACCAAATAGGCAAGCTAAAACGGTCAGTTTCCTGCTTGAATGCTTCGTTAATTTTAATTCTTGTTGTGTTTTGCATGGAACGGTCAAAATTTTCAATAACTGAGCGAAAAAGTTCCAAAAAAAGAAGGGATTGTGGCCGTCTTAACAGCTCGTCATCGCAGAGTTGATACTGTTTACAGTATCATCTTTGCGATGACTTGAACAGTATCAACTCTGCGATGACGTGCTTGTGTGTAATTTCTGCCTGCGAGGTTGAGTCACCTCAATCTGCAGGGAACTGTATCGAATATTGACAAAGGCTTCACCAGATCTCAACTTCACCTTTCCACGTATACCTTTCATGTCAGATTTCTTAAACACACTCTGCTTGGAGGTGATAACCTTTGAGGGTTTATAAATTGATGTTATCACAAACTTCGGCCACCCTATAGCCACCAGTAAAAACGATCGAATACCTATCTTTCACCAGCTTATCTATATTCTTTCGATGACAAATAGAATCTTAATAGAATTTCAGAAAATTCGGGCCGTTGCATCGGCTGCCTTAATCACTTTCATGGTAGCAGCACAATTAGTACATTTCTTGTACTTCGCTTCTGCAGAGATTCAGGTACATTTTTGATCAATTTCCAAATATTCTATTCAGAAATTTCAATGTTGAATGCCACTGCACACATGTGCTAGAACTTGTTACTCGAGTTTTAAAGTGTTTGTTCGCTTTTTTGCCATCAAATTTAATTTGGTGAACTTAATTTTCCCAGGAACAATTTTTCGACGTTTCGGCTTTCCTCTTTGGGATCTGGATTAACTTACTAGGCCTCGTTGCTGGCTGTTTTATCGTGAATTCTATTATACGCATTTTTAACGTGAGCTATTCTATGCTAGGTTAATTCAATTCGCTACGTTCGTTGCAAACTTTTGCTTTTCTACTTCGTTTCTGTTTCTAGAGAGTTCCATCTATAAGCCCTGTGCTAACGCGAATGCATCAGCTTCCTTACATTAGCTCCTTGATGTTTGATCGACGGTGTCAAATAAGGTATGTGAACAGATTACTTCCTCGCAGTGCTAATTTTGCTGTGCCGATTTCTGGATCGGTAATGTAACCCTATTAGAGCTGTCCTTTTGGTTACTGTGGCGATATCGCTGTTGATGTGGTATGGTAGCGACGATATTGTTGTGAAACAGGTCACTATACCAGTGAAGGTATCATTCATTTGAATAATTGGAAATTTCAGAGCATGCTTGTATTTCTTGAGATTCTCATAACTATTCGATGCTCCTATGCTGAACGGATTTGTAGTGGTGGAATTTAAAATTTGCCCGACTTTCCGACAAGCTCGTTTGGGCAAGCTCAAGAGCTTTTCGTTAGAGAGTTTACCTGTCACACTTGTCACACAACTCGGACATAACAACTTGACAAGATGCAACTCAGACGAACTCCAACTCCAGAATTTCCAACAAGCTACTTACCTCAATTCCACCAAAACCGAATCGTTGTTCACTTCGGAGATAAAGGACCGTAAGGCTGGCTGGTCGCCTCATGTCCCTCAATGCTTTGTACCTTTGGGGTAATAGGTGCGATACTGTCTTCATGGGCGGAATCGTGCATTTACCATCATGCCCATAATCAACATGTTTTTCTCGTCTGTGCTTGCAATACGGTGCAACCAAGCTGTTCCCTCCCCAAAAAGGTTCTTTTACACGAACGCGTAATTGTCTCCCAGTTTCTCTAGTTAGCAAACACCTCCTGTCAAACAGGAAAGCTGGTTTACCGCAGCGTTTTGTACACAGCCTTCTACTTTTCCATATGCTTAGATCGTTTAATTCCATGGGGAATTCCGTTCTTAGAAATGATTTTTAACCAATCGATGTTCAATGTTGGTTCATGATAAGTGAGCCAAGAGGAAGTCATCGGCTATATCGGCTCTTTTGACAATCGGGCACTGTTTTATAGCTGATCTGATGTAAGTAATGGCCGAAGACAAACTTCTTTTCAGTTTTGCCTGAAAAAAAACTTGTTTCCTTTGTCTATCATGCTGGCGTGCCGCGTATCCGCTCACGCCGTGCACCCTTCAAGCTAGTCATTTGATGCGCTAATCTTCTAGATTCTTTTCGGTAATGATTACGTACGTGCTTGCTTGTAAAGCTGATTTGTACATGTTTCGTGGTACTGCGCGTGCGACAGCTCTGAGGTGTGCCGACCTTGCGTGAATGAAATTCTAAGAACACTTCTCTCTGTACTACTTCTGATTGTGTGCTCTCTGATAATCCGTACCTGCCGTACCTGAGTATTCAGGAAGGTAACCAACACGCAGTGATATAGGATAATATTAGGAATTGTTGCGATTCCTACTTGGTTTGAAGTTTATTGGCCTGAGTTGCGAGTAGTTAAGGGTCGAGAGGAGTTGAGTATGTTTGTGAGAGCGATGAACCTGTCGAAACGTCGAGCAAAATGTATCTTCTGCCGTCAAGCACCGGCTCGACTCAGGAATTTTCAATACTTATAAGACGAGAAATCCCTAGGTTTCGAGAAAGGCGAGCACAGAAGTTACTTAAGGATTTTGAGATTCTATTAGTCAACCCTTCGGTAAATCAGAGACTACAAGCAGACACTCTTGGGAAAGTGCTCTGAGGGTTAATTTAGGAGTTAGAGACTTTAGAGATNAGATGAGATAAATAGTCTGAGGCTTCTGATACGTCAAGGCTTTGAATAGTTTATTGGTTTCTTCATCGGACTGACTCGTTTGATAGTTGTGAGAGAATGCCAAGACCAGCTATTAAAATGGCCAAAGACTCTTATGATCTCATCTTAATCTTATGTTTCAATGGGCTGGTTTATATTCATATGCGACTGGTTCTTTCTAGAATTTCTCTGGTCTGAATGGATCTGTTAAAATAGCGCTCTTGTCTGACATCCATGCTGGTGCAACTGTGCGAAGGAAGCAAGTAAGAGATAATTTCTTCCTAACTATGAGGTTTTGCAACTGAATACATTTCCACTTCTTAAAAGAGCTTATTACTTGAAAATATAGGGTATATTGAGATGGGAGAAAAGCATAGTAAAAGCTAAGTCGAATTTCTTTCTATCAAAATCACTCTAAAGGGTATTGAAGTGTTCCTGTTTGAGTTTGAAGCTACTGCAAATCGGCTTGTGATGACCGCTGGGTCGAAAGCGGAGATTTTGTAATTTAAAAATTAATTCTTTGAGTAATTTTCAACACCACGCGAGTCAGTTTTCATTTATTAGCAAAAACTGTAAGCATGCTTCAGTCAAAACCCAGTGATAGGTTTATCAATGACTTTGAAGTATCTGTACCTGACAGCTTCTGGTTAAATTAGATAGATTCACTCTTTTGGATAGGTTGCCAAAGTTGCCGACAAAGTTCGTGGTCTCAACGTCGATGCGGTGGCATTGGTAGGCGACATTGTTGACGGGCCGCTAAAACATTTAGCAAATCGCGTAGAGCCACTCTGGTACGTTTCGCGTTTATTTGGTCCAGTCGCTGTCCAATGCACAGCGCGAACATTTCTCGTACTTCGAAGTCGCGAGTTTGATTGAGCGTGAGCTTATTTTTCAGCCCGCATGTGCAAGTATCGTGCATGGTTATTAGTGGAAATAATCGTTGAAACTGTTTTCCAGACATTATCTTTTTCTCACCTCTTCAATTTATCTCAGTTACTAGCAGTAACAAACTCTTGCTAACAGTTGGGAAAGTGGCAGGGCTCTTCAAATCTGATCTTATCATATTGTTAGGGGCCCATCTGGAAAAGGATTCGGGTCAAGAACATCGGACCAACAGCCGAGCACGGAGAGTTTCGTGGTCACAAACCTATCCCTTCGGACAGTCCTTTGCTATTTCAATGAATGAGATCTGTTTTCGAGTTGACGGGAGAATAAGACTATGGCTTCAAGAACATGAGTATCAAGTTAATTTTGTCTTGGGCTGAGAGTAGATAGCGGAGGGAATGCCTAGAGGTAAAATTGGAGACAAGGAAGACAGCCAAGCAGAAACAGGATTAAGAGGACAGTCAGTTTAAGGATGAGCATCGAGTCGATAGTCCGGTTTCAAAGACTGCGATACAATGCCAGCTTTTTGTATAGAAGTTTTCGAGATTCGTTTTTTCACGAAGTTCTAGTTAATAGCTAAAATCACTTCTGTAGCGGTCAAATTCATTGTAGACTTGACTTCTAGCTGTCTACCAACATTTTCCTATCGAATCAATCTTTTCTGAATGCTAAAATTTTCAAGTTCCTCGAAAGATAGTTCATTTAATCTCCATTGTCTTTTGAACATTCTCGTCGGACATAGAGAGTTTGTTTACAACTTTGAATGTTATGAGGTGAAAGTTTGGAGGACTACTCGATTGGGTGAGAAAAAGTAATGTGCGGAAAACTGTTTCAGTGAGACTAACTTTTGATAGCCACGAGTGAGTTTTTTGAAATCTTTTGAAATTCGTCTCGAAGGATGGACATCGAAATATCTTTTTTTTTTGACTCTCCTTCTGATATATCTTTTGTGTTTGGGAATGTTATTTGTCGATTTCTTAATTTCTAAATATTTTCTAATACCGCTGATTGATGTTCCAGGAGTGATCTTAAGCGGCATCACACGTATTTTGTTTCGGGAAATCATGAGTATTACTATGGTGATGCCATGGAATGGTTCGCGGAATACGAAGCTCATGGAGTTCGAGTACTCAATAATAGGTAATTCTTCGGTCACGTCTCAATCTACCTTATCGGATTTGTTATGATGTTTCGCATAAAACTCTTGGTAACGATGTTGAATATTGTCGCATTTATTTGAAAGAAGTGGTTTTTCATCAAGTTAGTTACCTGACCATCGCAATGAAGCCATATTGCCTCGAATTGACTGAACTGGAGTGAACTTTGAGAGTGAGGTTCAGTTTTGCCATTTCAGGTGCGAGATGTTTCATGGCATCTGCATTATCGGTGTGAATGACGTTTCAAGCAACAAATCGGGGTTTGTGACTTTCACCTTCTTTTCTTCTTTTTTCGAGCTAATTCAAGTATATCATTGTGGTTACGTGAAAGTTGCAGAATAATCGGCCATCACATGAATCTCCCAGAAGCGATGCGGAACTGTACCCAAGACTCTTCCCGTCTTCTACTGACCCACAATCCAAGTAGCTTGTCTAAGTTTTCTGCCAGCGACTTGGCCAAAATTGATGTTGTCTTGTCAGGTATGTTCTTTCATATCCCGTTTCTTAGTTTTCGAGTTGAGTATGACATGAACCAAATTCCAAGCACACTCGAACATGCAGAATTGCTGTCTTATGAGGTGCCGCTTGAGTAATAGGTTTTTGAATCTGCTAGTCGGCATCTCTTTGTTGTCCACCTTCAGGCGGTCCGTTGCTTGCCCTGTTGGACTGCGCACTGTGTCAGGAAATTTTGTCTCGAAGCTTAAAGATCACGATGTAGCTGGAAAGGGTGGTTTGATTCGAACGGTGTTGAGTGCGATGAGTCGTTTGTATGATCGACAGCCCTTCTGATAGTCGTTTCGCATCTCCCAATTGCAACTTTCCTACGAGCTCTGGATAATCAGTTTGTTTGAAGAGGGACACACGCTGGAGTTCGACTACAGTGGCATTCGAATGTTATTTGACGAGCCTAGCGATTGACCAGAGCTCTGAAATTTTCATCTTGTCAATCTGAGTTAGAACCGTGAACCTTCCTGAAGAGGACCTAATATCAGCCTGGTCCAAAATTTGATCCCTGGTTCGTTATTGCGTGTCTTCCTGCCGCTACACGCTTCTGCCGTCTCTAACATCCCTACAGTAGCCAATACTCCAATTATTGAACCAAATATCCAATCACATTGTGTTCTACGGAATTTGAAATGTTCCCTGCATGGACGATATCCACATGATACCACAGTTTTGCTAATTTTTTCAGGTCATACTCACGCAGGGCAGTTTTATGTAGTTGCGCCAGTAACTTGGTTGCTTTTTCCATATTTGTATGGTCTCTATGATATTGGTCATGGTAAACTGTTCGTGTCAGCCGGAACATTATATGGGGTATTGCTTTTCACCGCTTACGTGTAAGTTACTTCTGTATTTTAAGTTTAGGCAATTTCAGGGACCTCCTATGAAAATGTTGTGGATGTCTGAAATTTGGATTGTCCATCTAGTGAATGATACATCTCAAGTTGCTGACGTACTGTGAGCTACCATAACCTAGTTAAGTAGACTTTTATGCTGTTTAATATATGAATGTCAGTTGTGACTGATTTTTACGGTCTTTCGCCTGGAAAATTGTCTGTTTAAGATTTGTTGTTCATTTTTTTTGGTTGTGTAAAGATGTGCACGATTCTCTTGGTCTAACTAGTCAGTTGGTTGTTGAACACTCGTTCAACTCTAATAAAATTTTCCCTCGGTCCTTGTATTTTTGAGAATCGTTGAGATTTCACAATATCTAATCTTATTGAAGTGTTCTATCATTTATGAACTATCTTTTCAGCTGATTCTTTGACTGTTCACAATGATGAAGGTGTTTTTAGGGTTAAGCGGCATGTCGATTCTGGCGGAACCGCGTCGTAGGCAACGGCTAAGCGTGGATCCTCAGAATGTGCAGTGGAAGAATGATGTTCAAAAGATTTCTCGGAAACTGATGGAACGGATGGGATGGTCCGATGGTGACGGGCTGGGGAGGAACTGTCAGGGTAGTTCCTCTAACGTGAAATTGAAGGCAAATTATACAGGAAAAGGTAAGTGAGAGACAGTCACTTTATGCCGAACGGTGTAGGAAAGTAAATGATGTAAATGTGGCTCAAGTGCTGAGTGACTCTTTTGGGTTTACATCGTTTTTGGGGAAGGCTATCAAATGCAATCCAATCTTGCGGTTACATGGCGTTTGGACTCATTTTCTATAATACATCACGGTCAATGGCTATGGGGTGATACAAANTTGGTCTGACAATAATTACCAGATGGCTTCCATTGGCAGTCGTTGAAGTCAAAAGCCCAATCAAATGCCTCCAATGAATGGGAAGAGAAATAGGATAACGGCTTATTCCAAGAAAATAATTTAATACTGATTAGTTCATGCTTTTTTATATGCAGTGACCTTTTTGAACGGCAAGATTTCAAAGCTGGGGAATGCTGCTGATCTAGCTATCTTCCTGACCAAACAATACTCGTTTTCTTGTGAAGCTTTGATATTGAAGGTCTTGGAGCTGATAAGCTGGCGTCATATGATAGTACTTGGATTGGACATCATGACGATTTTGCCGATTTACTCAATGCTCTCAACAAGAATAAGGAACAGGTTGGTGAATTCCTTATGCTGTCGGAGTTCTTTCTCCTTTTCTCTTTAGTGTTGTCCCGCGCCGTTCTCATGCAGATATTTCTGTGTTTTGTGGTTTTTCAACGGCAGCCTTACAAGTCTTTTGGATAGGCAACAAAGTGTAGAATTTTTTTTTTCCTGATCCGTAAGAATAAATATTTTCTTGTTTCAGAAGGCAACGACTGACGAAGAAAAACAGGAGCGAGCTAAGAAGATCTCATTGGAATTGAATAGCAAAAGTTTGCGAAGAAGGATTCAGTGAGTACCTTTTCAAAGGTGCTGAGTAAAGCAGCTAGGGAATACCCTCGAAATTTTGTAGCACACACAACCATGATTCCTAAATCTCTGTACGACGTCTAGTTTCTTTCCGATATCGAGTAAATGAATGTAATCGAAGTTTTCCAGCTACCAAAAGTTCACTCGTGCCAAGGATATTTCAAATTTTACGGAAAACGATCGAGCGGCTGTGTTGGGAATCGGTTTGAGTAAAACCAAAAACATCAAGGAGGTCAAAATGGAAGAGCCCGTTGAAGAGAAGGAGGAAAAGAGTGTTGAGTTGAAGTCGAATACTACTGTGAGCACCTTGTCAGTTGCCGAGTACTTCGCTGCGAAGATGGCTGCACTGAAAGCCAAAAAGGAGGGGCCACAAAGCCCAACACAGGAGGTAGGTATAAAACAAGGGTGTTCCCACTTCCAAGTCAATTGTGTACGAAAGAAGTGGCGTTTTTCGAGGAGTTATTGCTATTACCCTACTAGGATTTCACATGGGTTACGCCATTTTTTAAATCGAAATTTTTCCTATACAATTCTATGTCTTCGAATCATCGGATACCGTTCAAAAAGATTCCTCTGCTCTGAAATGTTTGTTACACGGACAGTTGTCATAAGTGAGATGTCAAGCTTTTGGTTTGTGTCGATGAAAATCAACCAAATTGGCTGCTAACCCGATTTTTTTCTCCAAAGCAAGCAAGCATCTAGGTAGTTATGTGCCGCCACCTTAGTGACAGCTCTTCCTAACAAGTACCAGCGACTGTCCAATAGACCTTTTGTTTTTTTATAATTGATCTCCCCTTTAGAGTTCGAAGGTGGTTCGTTGGGTCATAGTGGAACAATACAAGCGAAAAAGTTTCTGCCGATGTGTTTAAGGACATAAATTACACTAATGATTGATTTCGTAGGCTATTCAGTAAAAAGTAAATTGTGAAGTGATATCTTAATTTAGTTTGGCTGGCCACCCAATAATGTTGTCTTGAAAGTTTGCCTAAACGACAGTTCAAATAAAGGGAAAACCTATATTCAAATTGTGTATGAAAAAAATTTTGACTGATACTTAAAGAAGTGTGAAACGTAATCTACCATGGAAATGTTAAGAAGAGTTTGTTATTAAGTATACGATATTAATCTGTAGGAAAAAGAGATTGAGATTACTGCAGGTTTGGCTAATTTTCGTCAACTCGACCTCTTACTTCACATGATTGGGTATTAACCTTTGCGTAATTATTTTATAGAAGCAGGGAACTCGTTTTGAAGTGCAGATGAATTTCTTTCAAATAGTATGCTGTATGATTTGAAATTCTAGAAGCTCACGAGAAACTTCAATTTTTATGAAAAATAAGGTTTATTTATACAGCAGCTTTGAATTTTACAACACATCCCATATCATAATAGAATTCACACACTAGACTATTTTCAAAGTAAGCCGTACGCATGGCGCATACCGGAAGATTGGAGTTTGTATAAGTATTACTTTTTTGTACTAGTCATTAGTATTGGATGGGAATAGTTATACGCGAAGACTTCACTCTTTTCGGGGTTTCATTCTCATTCAAGCCGTTGGTCCTTTTGGGCGTAGATTTTACCGTCGTACTCCACGAGTATCAGAGTAACATGATGTTAGGGAGCACGGCCGTAAAATCAAGCTCGGATTAGCGGCTCAAACGTTACCTTGGCCATTATTGCCCGCCTATGTATTCCTCTCGGAAAGTCTGTCTTGTTCTAAAAGTTATGGAGATTAATTATCTATGGTTGAGTTGGAGAAGATGTTTAAATATAGGCGTTAAAATCTGCGTTTTAGGTAGATGTCGAGGTGAAATCCGAAATGGTAGTTAAAGAAGAGGAAGAAAGTGAGGGCAGTAGTTCTAGAGAAAGGAAGAAGAGGAAGAAGATGATAAGACTAGAAGAGTCCTTACGATATGAAGCGCCATCGGAAACATGTGAGGTCAAAGTCGAAGTTGTTGAAGAAGAACAGCCGAATGAAGAAGAAGATGTGGAGTTGCGGAGGCAAAAGAAAAGGGAAAGAAAACTGAAAAGACGTCAAGAAAGAGCCAAACTAGAATTGGAGGTACGGCTTAGCTTTGTTCCACAAGTTGTCTGCTTACAAAGGTTCATCATATTATTTAAAGGAAACCTCTTTGTGCCTCTTTAATAGGAAAAGTTTCTACAGTAAACAGACGTAGTGATGGTCTCTCCTTCACCAACATTTTGACCAGTAGAATAAGAGGAGTGAAAGGCGGTGTAGTGTCTCGAACTTGAGCAGAAAGTTCACATCTGCATAAGAATCAGCATTTCAACCCTCAGGCTACGTAGTTTCTTAGCATGAGATAAGCTCACTGGGAGCCTCAATCTCGCTTTAACTGAGCGTCATAAGCTCTTAGCACTCATTGTAAGGACGTAGAGAGTTGCAATGCCAGTTAAATCCGAGACACTCTTGCCTATTTTCCTACGTCGGCTGATTAGTTCAAGACATGTTTGGGAGGATAAAAGCGATGACTTGTACATCGGTTGATCACCAGTAATTTTATGTAGGACACATGCACACCACTACATATACTACCTCTTCCATTTTGAATGAAACTCGAACACGGTGCGCATCACTAAACGAGATTGACTGGTGCCAAAAGACTTGGAAAATTGAATTTTTGCTTTCTATCTCCCATTTAAGAATGCTGTAATGGAAACAAAACAAGAAGAAGATAGTGAGGATGGGAAAGTCGAGGCACCAGTAAGTAAGGAGAGTAGAAAGAAAAAGAAGCGCCCTATGGAAGATGAAGGTGAGCTGATGATAACCGATTTTGAGAACTTTGCCTCCTTAAAGAAGATAGCAGCCTCTCGAAATGCTTGTTAGCTCTGCCAAATATTTTCAGGTGATTCTTTCGTTACTGAAGAGTTAGAAGTTGAAGAAGGAAGGAAGAAGAAAAAGAAGAGCAAGAAAAATAGACAGGCGTCAGAGGAGTAAATACTCTCGAGAAGGGACCTCATTTCCTCGTTCTGGTTTGCATCTGTAAAAGCACATCCTCTCATTAATGTTCATAGCAACTTATGGCAGTGTTATAAGATTTCCAAGGGGCTGCTTCTCCCAGGAAACTACCTGATTGTTGTATTGTTATTGTTTTTCATTGTTTTTAGGTACAATTCCACTTGATTACTTATTTGTTGACCATGCAGTTAGGTCAATACACGCGAAATTCCCTTTGAACTTCTCGGCTGTTACAAAATCTCTAGCCTGTCCAGTAGCTAATACTAAATTTACACTTATTTTGAACATTTATAAACCTTATTAATGACTAGATTCGAAATGATTGAACCCTGATTGAGCCTCTAAGAAAGTAATCCATTAGGACAGCGATCGTACCCTAGCAGCAATGGATCATCACCCGAAGAGAGACACTCTGAGATCACAGTGTACCAACAGTCGTAAGCCTGAAAAATATTGAACATCGATTACTGTTGATAAAAATTTGTTAGCGAATTGTACTTTGTTGAATTTTCAAGTATCTAAGGTAAAACGCTGTAGATCATACCTCTAATCCTCCATGTCGTGCAAACTTCCGTGCAATCCATTCCCTATTATAGTACGTGGTATCATAGTAATGTCCAGGATCCGCTAGCAAAGTAGCGATAACTAATCGAGATGTTTGCGGCTTTCTGAAAAACAATAATCTCTAGTCAAGTGAATGTGGATGGAGCCTGAGTTTGTTGCCTATTTTTTGACGAGTTGGCCCTAGTGTCACGGAGAATACCTAGTTCGTATTGTCCATGCGTCTCCTCCCTATCAATTAGCTTCAGTTTCGACACTCGCGCTCACCCTAATTTCTAAAACTAATCGACGGGGAAAAGGTGGAAAGTGAATATAATAGCTCAAATACGATAGTGTGGCTTATTCAACCCTTTCATAATTACGACCCCTTTTCTTGAGGAACAAATTGCGACTTTTCCCCTCTAATGGAGATCCCAAGAGAAATCATTGAAAAAGCCACCCAAGAAATCTGAACGCATATGGTAATAGAATATGGGTTCTAGTTGATTATTTGCTAGGGACCGTTCACCTGATTGTTTGAAGAATTGCAGATTGACCTACAGAAAGTTTCTAGAGGCCGTCAGGTGCCTCAACATTTGTAAAGTGGGACGCTGCTCGCAAAGGCAGGAATAAAACGATTACATCGTCTTTATTCCTTGCTTACGAGCTCTTCCTTTTACTTCTAAGTATTTATGTATATAACTCTGTACTCTGTTTAACACTCTTCTAGTTATCTAATCTTATCTTGGCACTTCGCGGGAAGGCCAGGGATGGATCAGAACAATAGATCGAACAGGAAAGTGAAAGTTGGATCGGTGAATTCCTATGGAAACTTTTATACTTCTGGGCAAATAGAAGTTGATTTTTTAACCTTGTTAGCTGCCAGTGCTACTCTATGCACTCCCGAAGAGCCTTTAACTATCCTTATTGCAGTGGAAGATCTGGTCAGCTTTGCAAAGCAGAAGACGAAGTGAGAAACTACCAAAAATTATGAAAGCGATGAAAAGTGAAAAGAAAGCGGCTGGTGACCAGTTCGTATCAAAAATGCTAGCAGTTGGGAGAAAAGTTGTGTTACCTACTAGTTAATGGAATCAACATAACGTCTGTTAAAAGTCTATAATTCTAATTCACAACCAAACCGTGCTTGCTCACTTACACCGCTGTCGCTGCTATGTGCATTGATGTGAGTAGATTTACTCCACTACTGGTACCACCGGATGCACCCTAAAAAAAGGATTACGGTAATGCATCGACAAGAATGTATATGCATGTATATACATATATGCATATCTTAATCTGCATCTACATGGAATATACAGTAATATTAAGTATGGTGAGGTTGCCATGGATAGCAAGGCTCTTTAGAAACAGTGACCCCCTCGAAATTCCAACCTGCTCACGAAGTATCCGCATTGCAGCAGTGGCTGCCACATCGGGTACTTTCACAACTCGGTCAATAACGGCGGCATCCATGCTGTAATTAGTCTTTCAGGAGAACTTTCTAGGTAAAACAGATAGGGTCTATTCCAACTACAGAACAACCAGCGCTTACCTCGTTGTCTCCCCTCTGCGAGCCACTCCCATTGGCCCGTAGCCTATTCCAGCCATACCTGGTTCTACCCAGAGGCCAGCTCCAGATTCGTTTTTAAATCTGAAATCACTCTCAGAAGCAACTCATTTTGAGCTCTACATTATTTTCCAACTTCTGTGGTCGAACTAGCATTTGCACAACCATTTGCACATTTGATCTATTGAAGGAACAGTCCACGACAAGAATGGTTTCTGACAATGAGATGTCTCCCTGGTATGAACCTTCAACCCCCAAGATAGCAGAAGGAACGCTATTGAGTCGTGAAACGACTAGAAAAGGAAAGGGCTTCACAAGGCTCCCAAAATCGGCTCAGACGACGTACACATCCAAAGGCGGACGAGTTATCACGGCATTGTAGAGGCCACAGAGTCACACCAATCGCAACGGGACACCCACGTTGCACGCAGGCACTGTAGCCAGCTCTACGCAATGGCGCACACATAGACGCCTGACCCAAATACTCCTTCCGTGCAGCTATTGTTGTCACATTCTCTCCAATCTCTAATTTCACTTTTTCAAGCCTCATACTTCTCTGAATACCCTGTTCTCTAGCACTATCCAGAACGATCACTTACATTGTTCGTCTAAAACTAGATATCGTTAACTGTGCCTTAAAGGCCAGTTTTCGACGGGTGATTAAGTAATAGTACAGAATAATAGTACATATAATAGAACAAAAATAACGAATAAAACGTTATAAACGGCGTATTTACAGTTTACAGTACAAGGCTCCAAAAAATCAGGGTTGGAAGAGATTGTGATGGAAAAAAGGCGTGAAAGAGGGGTTTTGCAGCTGTTCGCAACGACTGCAATTGCATACAGCTTACTTAATAGGCGCTGAATCGGATTTAATCCTCTCTTACTATTCCGCTGCACTGTGGACATGCTGATGCATCTAAGCATCCAATGGCTCCGAAGAAATAATTTCTACACACTTCATCTTGAACATCCCCTCACCACTTGGCGATCAGCTGACTGGATACTCAACGCGTGGGTCCCGGCAAGAATAGCGCAGCCTGCATCGCCTCGGCATCTTTTCTAACATAATTATCGGTCAATGGGCGTGGATATCGACGAATCCGGTAATGGTGCTCCGGTTATGCCCTATCTATTGAGTTCTTTGGCCTGACAGCGTCCCTTGCGTTACCCTTTCGGGCCGCTAGGTAACTGTAAGAGGAAATCTCAAAACTATTTTTATCGTGAACTGTGCCTTTAATGCTACGATGGTTTATCAACTGTTGAAGGTTTTTTGACTGCGAAAGAAATGATGCCCAACCTTCCATACATGACATAATCGTAATAGATAGAAAACTGCGTATCAGCCAGAACAACTTCGGTATTGATGCCGTATTTTTTCACATATCGGCCAACAGACGATATTGTTCCACCTGTAAAATGACGGAAAGTTAGAGACTGTCCTGCCATGTCATCCTAATTAGTGCAGCGTTTTCCCCAAGCAGTAAAGCATTTTCCTCTGAAGTGAAACCTACACATAACCCTCACAAACATTTAGAGACGGTAACTCATGACTAATGTAATACGGCAAAGTCCATAAGACCATCTGAGAGGTAGTTAGCCCAGTGCACAAGGAAAGCACTCTGGATTACTGTGTGTCGTACTGTAGAGCGGGAGGACTCTTTTAACCATGGTCAGCCACGAACTCTGGTAGGCCACTGTCATCATTCGACTACTGCATCATTCCATCTTCATCTCGACGCCCTCGCCCGACCCTTGTCGTCCTTCGCCCTGCCGTTCGCACTCTTCTGCACCTCCGGTCGCAGCTCTACTGGACTAAAAAGCACCTGACCATCGTCATCCATTACTGGTGCTGTCGCCGGCAACTTCACGACGCAAGAAACATCTGAAGAATTGGCTTGTAATCTACTGGGATGGACCTGGATGCAGCAGTACCGCAAGGAGGTTGAGAAGATTGGATGGTCCTACTTTGGAGATAGCAGGACCGTAGCGGAGCGCAGGTTGCAGTGTGATTTATGTTTGTATGTCATTGTTAATATTTTGATCGGTAGGTGGCTTCTCTTAGGTCCCTTATCTTCTCTTGCCGAGTATGATCAGTTCTTGTCACCGAGAACCTACGATCCTGTCATATCCTACATCACTTATTGAAAGGCTGTGGTTCCACTGTTAGCACGAAATGTTTAATCCTACCAAATTTCAACGCTCTTGGTCCCCGTAAACAGGAGTTATGTTCCCATGCTGCCTCCTATACTCCTGCCAATTTGAGCTTTCTTGGTCCACGGGAACAGGAGTTATGAATTTCCGTACAATTCTTCCTTATCAGTTTCTACGATACGTGTATTCAGTATAGTTTCACACCAAAGGAAAATGAGACATGACATCTTGTTGCAAACTGGAACCTGATAAAAATAACAAGCTTGTGCGCCGTAACCAGCATAAAACCGTGCAGCTATGTACGACTGACTCCTTACACCTGAACTGTAAACGAACCGGTGCCAGCAGCATGAACGAAGTAATGCGGTACTTTCACGTCTTGTCCTACGTCGGATTCAAGTTGTACAATAATTTCGTGGAAGAGATTTGCAGACTCAAGAGGAAAATCGCCACCTGCAAATAAAAGATTTGATCAGGAATCCTTGAAGACCTTTATAAATGATGGCCTTCAAGTCTGCTGTGGTCCTGGACCTACTCTCATGGAACTCCTCTGCCTTATCAGCGTTACCGAATTGGTTCATAAAGAATCCACCGTTCTTCTCTGCTAGCGATCGCGCATGAATTAACCTAGAAGAGCTGTCATTCTGGAAACCGAAAGGTAATGAAAATGGGTACAGGTAGAAACGAACAATATGCATATTATTAAACCTTTCTGATAACGGCACTTTAACAACTTCTCCACCATACTCTTTGATATGTTTCACTTTGATTTCTTCGATAGTGTCAGGCACCTGGAAAAAATGTCGTCAACTTCTTCTTTGTTTCTTGTTGTCGGAAAGAATCTTTGAGGTCCAATTGAATGATTTTGAAAACGGCTCTGGAGTTGATTGTAAAGGAGACAATCAGAATGAATGCGAACAGTGTGCTATACCGATATCTGACTGCGCCTGTACGTCTCCTCAGCCCTAGTTCTCTTTCACAGTGTTGTTTATAAATTATTCCACGCACAATTACTAACATCTGCTTTCCAGAAGGAAAATTGGTCGGGACAACTAATCACTTCAACCTACTGAGGCTCGATCTTGGGCTTAACGCGCTAATAGCGCACTGATAGACAGCGAACTGAGTGTGAGAATCGCCGCACGGTGTTAGCGGATCCATGCCGCAGCGAAAAAATGGGGGCCGGCCGTTAACAATGATCGGCGATGATTTGTACTAGAGCAAAACGAGCACTTTTGCAATGATTTCGCAACATTACGTTGTTTACCGACAGTGAGCCTACCTGAGTGGGAGTCGGACTGTTCGCCGCGCTCGCCGCATCCCATCGCGCGCTGAAGTCGCAGTCGCACACTTAAGATACGGGTGGTCCCGCGAAACAACTGTCGCTTGTCGTGGGGGATCTGTATAATACCGCTATCCAGATAGCCTCCCCACTTGCCGAACTGGCGTCTATTTTCAATGTGACCTATACATTGTGTTAGTCTACAACCCATCACATACATCCTCAATACACGCTGAATTTCTTCGACAGCGGTTATGGCGACTGCGGCTCGCACTCTGGTCTCGCCCTCCGCCACACAGTACATACTACTGCTCTGGATGGGGTCCGGGAACATCTCCCCGAAAACGGCGTCGCGCACGCCGCACCCGCCGCGTATCGCAGGATTGCGATAGAAGATTGGAGCGCGCAATTTGTGAGGTAGGGAGTCCTTTAATTATTTGAATTGGCTGGCCGCTCCCTTCAATTCCAACGCGGTATTGATCGTCGCTAATACAGGAGGAGTTATTCTAATTAAACAAGTCTAATATACATAAAAAACAAGAAAAAGGAAGATAAAAAACGATCAAAACCAATAAAAAAGAAAGGCAACCAACGGAAAATATTGCGTCATATCGATTGGCGGGNCAGGATTGCGATAGAAGATTGGAGCGCGCAATTTGTGAGGTAGGGAGTCCTTTAATTATTTGAATTGGCTGGCCGCTCCCTTCAATTCCAACGCGGTATTGATCGTCGCTAATACAGGAGGAGTTATTCTAATTAAACAAGTCTAATATACATAAAAACAAGAAAAAGGAAGATAAAAAACGATCAAAACCAATAAAAAAGAAAGGCAACCAACGGAAAATATTGCGTCATATCGATTGGCGGGGGGCGGGGGCGGGATAAGTACGGTAGTTGCAGTGACATTTGCCGCATGCGGCAAGGGAGAATGCCGCAATCGGGGAGAAGTTCCGTTACCCCTCTGGATGCAGCAATACAAGACCGTTCAATCTTCTCAGAACCCTCCTGTTCATCCCCTGTTCATTGGTCATGGGAAGCCTGGCACAGTGAACCAGACTAGCTCGGGCGTCGACGACACCTGCATAGTCCACCAAGTCTCACGCCCCACCCTCTTTGACCATGACAGTGAAAGTCGTGTCGGTCCCAGCAGTGTATGCCTCCCCCTGATCCAGGTTCCGTAGCTATTTCAAATTCTGTACATTTTGTTCAGATGGGAGGAGCACATCAACTGTGAATAGCCAGTGATGGAAACAGCTCCACCTACTGAGAGCCTTGCGGAAAATTGATGTGCTATTGAGATACTTACAATAGCTGTGAAGGGCACGTTTAGAATATTGCACATATAGGCGAGAGAAGCGGCAGTGTTCCCTGAGGACGCTTCGAATACTGGCGTTCCTGAAATATCGAAAGTTACGCAATCCAAAGTGCGAGGTAAAACTGTTACAATGGACACTGATTTACCTACCTTCTTTCACATGACCTTCTACCAAAGCCCACATGATGAGCGACCACGCGTAACGATGTTTCAGCGAACCAGACCGAGATGCTGATTCATTTTTGAACAGGATGTCCACGTTTTTCTGCCCGATATACTGAAATAAAGCTCGCTGGTTTGTAGAGTTCTAAGGCTTAAAACGCTATGGTAAATGTTACTGCTACTGACAGTTTATTGATATTTATTTGGACATCGGTCAACACCCAACAATCTGGTTCTCTTTTATCAACCAAGTTTCTTTGACTGAAGCCATCAAGAAAATCATTTTTACCGCCTAAATCGAAACAATACTTCTGTTCCGTCTTCGCTGGTTCTCTAATGATTCATACTTATCATCTCACGCTAATATTTTGTTGTAGCTAGTAGCTCAACAAAATTTGGTCTACATCCCAGAATCTTCCTGGCTTACGGTTTCAGATTATCTGGCAATTCTGGAATGCATACCATTTGATTATTCTCTTCAACACTGAAATTTGAAACCATGTGGCAACACCTCAACACTGCGCTCTATGCTTGCGTAAAACCTTCGTCATATACTTGAAGTTAGTGAGGTGTTTGCAATGCCCAACACGACGTCTTTGTTGGAAAGAGAAAAAGGTTCTTTTCCTTCCAATAATGTAGTTTGAATGGGGATTTGGATGATCGCTGGACGGAAATTCTAGGTGGCATATCCACAACAACATTTGCCCCTCATTTTGAATAGGAACTACCGCCATGAAGGTGCATTAACTGTTAACCTTGTTTTCTACGCTACTGCTAGCACATTTTTTGTTGGAGTAACGCCTGATATCATTTCCATTACCATGTGGACAGTTTTCCATCGAGAGGTTTCTTCATCTTGCACGCTTTATTATTCTGCCCATCTTCTTCAATTCTGGTATGGTAGAAAGAAAATAATTTAGACGGACTTAAAGGCACAGTTCACGATAATTTTGGGGTATCTGGTTTTTGACGGAAAAAGATAGGTACGGCACACAGTTGTACAATGGTAAAGCAGAAAGCGCGAAAAACGACGACTAAAAAGAAATGAAAAGTTCCTAAAAGAAGAGAAAAGGGGGGTTGGACGAGTTTCACAGCGAAAAATTGGCGAATTTACGGGCGAGTAGACGAATGCGACGTAATGTCTGCAATTGCACACAACAGACCCAAACAGCTGATTTTGGCTTCTTTGTTGATATTATTTATTCTACTGCTGATATTAAGCTGAGTTATTGTGCAGAATCAATTTTCGACCTTTCGACGACGGTTGAGAGTAATTAATTAGAACAAAATAGAGTAGAATATTAGTCGGATAGCAGGAATACAGCCGAATACTATTACCAATAGGAGACGATCGATCAGCTTATGATTTTTCACTAGTGTTGCTCCAATGCGAAAGTGGTGAAGGACAATTAGATTTCGTAGTCAGCCTAGCGAGGGCACATATGGTATCAGAGGGTGCCGCGAACTCATACCATGTGCAAATCTCCGAAACCATTTTTATCGTGAACCGTGCCTTTGAGCACCTTTGAGCAATTCACTACATGCAGACGCTGCCATTAGCAACCAACTATTACTTGACACTCGTTCTGAAATGGAGTGCTTTCCGTTTCTGTTGGTGCTTTTAGAGCTCATTCACCAAATGAAACAAAATTGGCAGCGGGTATGCAAGTAGTAAAACGTTGCGACCACTTATTAGTTTTGATGTCGGGACGCTACCCCACGTTACAGCGTATGCAAGCCACACCCTACCTCGTTCTGAGGAATGGCGTGTCTTCCGTTTTTGTTATTATGGAATAGAACAACGAACATTGAACTTGAATAGCGGTGTATGAGACATCTTCTTTCGCTCTTGCCACATTCGCCGTATTGCTAATTTCGTCCATGCACGATCCTCTGAAATTCGTATTCATTAATGAGCTCTATAGTACAAAGAGTAGAGTTGGTTAGCGGGTAAGCTCACTTATGAATTCATCACTCGGGGCTCTTGATAACCTTTGCAAGGGCCGGCCAATTTCCTGTTGAGAAATGACAAACAGTGAGACAAATACATACAGAGAAGGTGTTGTCATTCCTGTAACAACGAAGATTGAAAATGCCTCTGAATTAGTACAAGCTTTGTAACGCGACGACTTGTATCGTGCTTGTCAGCCATAAGATTATTCTCTAATCACAAAACAAGGAGCAGAGAAGGGTTCGATACGAAGAAGACTTCATATTTATAAGAAGCATGACAGTTTGGTGCATTATATGGTGCTAGCCCTATAATAATTTTGGATAAATCTTTCAACATATTGAAAATGTCCCATTATTATGCTCCTTCCAAAACTATGCGCGAATTGCCTGATTGTATGGCACAGCTTCTTGGATACTCATGGTAGATCGAATTTGTGATGTTCATGCCTGGGGAGACGGGCGTTAGGTACGATTCGGGTAATCGATTCGCCGCACGCGGCCGTCGCGGACCACTCATTCGCCGTTCTTACAACTCTAGCGTTCTTCATACAGCTCAATCGATATGCGATCATTATTTTATGCATAATTCTACTATTAGTACTTTTGTTCTTGTATTTCTTACCAACTGCTGCATCCTGCTACATTCCTTCGCGCGCGACGCCGCTATCACCGCGACGCGACCATTTCATTCCTAATGCACCACACCCCCATGCCTACATAACTACATTCATCATCATAGTCAGTTGCAACTACGTTGTTTCTTTTTTCTGCATTTGCTTATTTTTATGTAGTGTTTGTTTTTTATGTCGACTTTTCTCCACTGACCTACAATATTATGAACTTCTAAAATAAAGGAGATGTTCGCTTATTGCTGGAAAAATGTTGAATTATATCGGCCGAGGATTCTACCGTGGGGTATTAATGGATGGCTCAACATAAAAGGTTCAGAGCTTCAAAGTTAAAGCTTGCTAGGATAAGTTGGAGATTTTCTCGTACAGTTGACGAGAACGTGTAAAAGTTGCATGTGAATTGTGTGAAAAACCTAAAGAGTGGTCAAAAAGATCGCGAAGGTTTCCCTGCATCCAGAATTAATAAATAACTTCACTCTTTTAATTCTTCACAATGAAAAGTTCTTAAAAAATTTACTTGGATCGAGCGCGGACATCGTGTGGAAATTTTACAAATACAAAGTTTTTGGTATTTTTAATCTTCAAGAAGGCGAGTCAATACTACGAAGTAGACTACTAAGAACGTCGTCAGAAAATAAAAAGCGAACCGAAACTAAGGGGGTCACAAAAAAACACCTATCCTTCAACAGAATTCAAAAGGCGACGTAATTAAAAGTCACGAACCACATCATTTTTAGATATTTCAAAGTTTGAAAAGATGGCACTTGATGGGAAGAGGAAGTTGAACGGATTTTGAACGAACATGAGAAAAGCGTTACTGGTGATGATGAGAATGACGAACGATGCTAACAACACGAACTGATAAGTTGAACGGGAAGTGTTTCTGTGTAATAAGGTATCTTTTTACTCATTCTGGTCGTTCACTCATAGATTTCTTTCTGGAACTCAAGAGAGCTACTAAATTGCTCCTGTAATTTTCGATCTCGCAATCCAAAATTTTTAGCTATTCATCGAAGTGCGTTTCTCCTTCAATCACCTAACTGTTCGATTTATATGTTACAAGATTCGGAAGTTCGCTATTTATTTGATTGGGCATGTCGAGAGGCACCTAAATGGATCAAATCGATGCTTCCTCTGATCAAATACTTCTCGAACTAGAATGGTGTATCTGTGATGAGTTTTCCGAAAAAATCATCACTTCACAGCAATGGATATTTCTTGTTACACATATATTTAACGACTCCTTCAATTGTTTGTTGGGATGTTATCATTATGTATCGCAGTGTGAAGATGTCATCGTTCAGTTATACTGACAGAATCTTTGGATCGTGGCAGTTACTTCATTAATGAGCAGAGCTTCAGAGCAATTTTCTTTGAGTACAATGTGTTCGTGTGAACTGTTTATGCCCTGAATGGAGAACGTCCATTGCGAGCGTCCGTCGAAAGTAGGTCACTACGCCCACTCCGCGCGCGGCGCAACCCAACTGAGGTTTGACATGAAATTACATTACCATTAAGTGTCAGTGTAACGAATGATTTGCATTTGTCCGTTGTACCTTCCCTTTGGCTGACTGATGTGGACCAAGCGTAAATCGTATGCCCACAGACTGCTGCGACGTCTATCAATGGTCGCGGGCTGACGCTTCGCACGCGACGTTTGCGGCTTGACCTGGTTTTGACGGACGCGCGCAACGAAACGCACCCACCCTGAATGAAGACGATTCATTCAGTCACGTTGATGGATTTTCCTTGATTGAGACCTTTTAGATTGACTCTCTGCGTCTCCCGAACACTGCCATACCCAGTTGTTTCCAAAACTAACTTTTTCAAGGCAAAATTACTACGACCGACGACGAAATTATATTGATAGGGCAAAAAATTTCCTGAATTAGTCTGTTCCTGTGAAAACGTTTTGATCATCGACTAATAGCTGACGGGTCGGAGAACATGATAAATGACTAAACAAACAAGTAAATAAATAAACAAATAAAAATACACAATAGACAAGTAATTATTGAAACAATCTAACAAGAAATTCGACCAATGCGTGAATAAAAGGACCAGAATCCAGAAACCCTTCCAAATAATGTAGTAGTTCCAAGATATACTGGAAAGCGCTGAGTAATACGCTGATCTTTGATCGACAGCTCATAAAAACCCGTGAAAAAGATAGAAAACTCTCTCTACTTCTTTCAGTTTAATTGGTGTCAGACGTGTACAGAAGACCATTCAGGTGCATGGCAACTATGTATATCATAGGGCGAGTTCGCTGATGTATTAATACTTATCTATGATTCTAAACATGAGTCAAAAGTACGGCACAAGCCGTGACCTGACAGCGTCGGGAATCATTTGTAGCAACCATAGTTTTCAGTGGGAAACTACTGATTGAAGAATAAGACAATATTGCTCGTCCAGCTACCGCTGTTTCAAACGAAGGCATGGAGTGATGAAAACGGTTCCCTAAGTTTACGACAGAATTCATGTTCCCATTTTAGCATTTTCAGGATCTTTTATTACCGGGCAAGAGAAGTTGCCTTAAAAGGAATAACTTTCTCTACATCATCACGGTCTAGAGAATCATGTCAGGGGCCGCTCGAGCTTTCCATTTCTCCATAAGTAGTAATTTTCTTCTGGTCAATGGTAAAAACATCAAAATAGGACCGGATTTATTACAGATTTTCCCAATGCGGTTCGCAAACTTTGCAGTCGTTTTATAACATCAGGAACTCCGTTCATCATATTTCTTTTTTGTGCCTCACCGCACGTTTTTATGGGTATTTAAGCAGCCTGGAGACTATAATGGGGTCTCCTTGGCGGAGAGTTTAGTCGCCGTAGGTCGCCCTCTAAGCGGACAACCGTCCACTGAGCAAAGCTGACAGCGGACATTCTGAGGGGCGGCAGTGGCGCAGGCCATATTACCAGGCTCAAGGAGGAATGGCGGTAGTTTCTTGCGAGTGGTTTTGCGAGTGGGGAACCCGTTAAGAAGAGAACTCAGGGTGAAGTCAGTCAAAGTCGGCGACAAGGAAAGGATAACATCAAATCCCTCAAGAACTAGATTATAGGCACTTAGTGTATAGCGTGGTGCCTAAATATTCCTAATAA